AATTGCAGGGGTGAGGGGATGGGGGTTGTGCTCGCCCTGAAATTGCAGAGGTGAGGGGGTGGGGGTCGTGCCCTTCCTGAGATTTCAGGGATGAGAGGATGGGGGATGTGCCCTCCCTGAGAGCTCTTGGAAGGGCCAGCGTGGTTTTGGAAAGCTCTGAGTGACACCTTCTGGTGTCCTATGCCAGTTTGGTCACTTTGCATATCTCACTTCTTACCTGAATCCAGAATTCAGTTTATTGGCCTCAATTTGGGAATGTGGAAAATAAGTAGCCTGACTAACTACCAGAATTTCCCAGTGTAAATGCTAAAGTTTTAAGCCAAATTCACCATCCCTAAAAATAATGCAATTTTATCTTTAAAATAATGATTGATTTAAAAACACTTTTTTAGATTTACATGAAATAATTGGTCTTTTGTATTGGCTTAATCTTTTTCTTATTTCAGCTGACTAGCTGCTTAGGTCTAAACATTGGTCATCTTGAATTTTACCTAAGTTAATGTTTAAAATCATCTACCATGAAATTTATTATAATACCTGTACTGATGACGCTTTCAACCCAAACCTTTCATGCTCCCCTTGGTAATGACCATGTCCTGCCCTGAATCTGGGACTGCAGCGCCCATGCCCCTGTGGGAGCAGCCGGGTACCTGGACTCTCTCGGTGGCGGTGGGCCACAGCTGCCTGCACAGGACTTTCTTGAGAACGTCGGGAAGGAGGCTGATCGTGATGAGCAGGATGATGGCCAGCCAGGCAGGGCCACTGGATAACATCTGGATGAACACATAGTACATCCTTTGGTAATTGAGGAATGGCCTGGAGCGTTGGGGGAAAGAAGAAAAACCACAGGATGGCAGGTCAGAAATCATCAGGAGAAACGCTGAAATCCCGCTCTGTTTCCTCCACTGGCATAAAGAACCCCTTAGTCCTGGCAGCTTTAACTTCTGGCACCGATGGTCACTGGGCAAGCCACTGAACCTGCCTGCTTCGAATCAATCACAGACCTACTGTGATGGAGAACTTCCCCTATAACGCTGGGGTGTTCTGAATGGAAAAAGAGGAGGGGATTGTATGAAGTCATCCCAAAGGGAAAATAAGTCCCTGAAGTTCAGTTTCAGAATCACAAAAAGGATTTAAAAAGATTAAAATGGGTAATTTTTTTAGTATCTCAGAATCACAATGGCTATTAACATGAAGATTTACAAAGGTCCTGTTCATCAGAGCTCTAGTTAACTACCTAAAGCTTAGGCCATAAAATTCTTTAAAATTGTCTATAAAAATACAGAGCATGAAATGGCTTCCCTGTCAGGCAAATCTATACCTCAAAGGAAATACCTATATTGGGCTCCATAAAAGAAGTTGAAGAGGATGCAGCAATTGGTATAATGCTGAACCTGAGTTACAGTTTCATGATCCCTAAACCCCAAGGCCCAGGAGCCAGTCAGAGAAGTTTTCAGGATGAATTTTCCTCTTCCGCTGCAGCTTTAATAACTTGGGAAAGTTCACTAGTATTTCAGGGAATTTTTAAAGCTTGGCACAGGGTTGTTGGAAACCCACCCAAAACTTATCTAAGATTTCTCTATTTCCAGATCGCAAAGAACATGTAATGCATGGCTTTGGTCACGAGAGGGCAGTAATGTAACGAGAGGTTCAGCAACGGCCAACATGGGGACAAGGTTGATCACAGAGGCTTCTCTACTCTCAGGGGCTGCCCCCTGTTTCTCAGGACTTGTGCTCAATATTGAAGTTGCAAAGTGGAGAGGATATTGCTTCTGGACTCACATCCAGCCAGGCCTAATCGAAAGAGGCACTCCCTCCCAGGTCATAGCCACTGGGGCCTCCTCACTTACCTTCCCCTAGGCCCAGCCCTGCTCAGGAAATGCTCTGCTTTACGGGGAAGGTAGAAATGTACACAGGAGAATTATAAAACAATATGGTACCTTCATGACAGGAGAATGAATAAATGCTTAGGGGACGAGGCGGAACCGTCTGTGAGGTGATTCGAGGGAAGCACTGAAGAGGACAATGAACCACAGGGTTTTGAAGGATGAATAAGAGCTCAAGAAGAAGGCTAATTGGAAAGGGCATTTTTGGTGGTAGGAAGAGCATGGGCGAAGGTGTGCTTGTGACAGTACCAGAACACAGGTCAAATGCAGCCACTTCTTGCTCTCATCAGGATTGACCAAACCGACATTGCTTCTTGAATGCCTTGTTGCAATAATATCTAAAGCACATGTCCTGTCTGCTTCATGTTCATTTTCAACACGGTGGTCTTTCTAAAACAGCAACCAGACTCTGCCACTTCCTCTGTTTAAAATCCTCGATGCTGTTCCATTGTTGTCAGATTGGGGCTGTGGCCCTACCTGTCCTACAGGCCCTTCAGTGTGAAATAGGCCCCTAGCTATAGCATCTGGTTTGTTCCTCACTTGTCAAAACCCCGGTAAGTTATTATCCAGCATGTTGCCACCACTGAAAATGTGGGGCCCAAGGGGTAGGGACCATGCCTACCTCATTCCTGCCATGGCACAGTGCCTTACACACAGCACGCATTCAACCAATACCTGCACACAGGAATGAGTTTAAACGGAAAATGTGTTTTGAGACCTCAATGAAAGATACTGCAGGACTATTAATATAAAGGTAATATCATTATAAAGGTAATAATGATTATATGCTACTTATCATTCTTACCAGATGATTCCTCCCCAGAGGAGGGAAAAGACAACGTAGAATAGCAGCGACCCCCAGATGACAAAGTGGTTTATCCAAGTCCAGTAGTGTGTATCTAATGCCAGCTGAAAGAAAAAAGGTGATGAGCAGTGGGATTATCTACATGTCACATGAGCCATGGCGAGGAAAGAGAGCCAGAAAATAATGAAACCAACCAACTAACCAACCAATACCTTAATATACCTTAATTTTAGCCAAAATGTCCACATGAAACTGCTCAAGGAAAACAAACCCTTATTCTTCCAATGAAGATAGAGAATGTGTGACGTCACGTCTTTGTAATCACAGCATTACTAGTACCTCTCACCCAGATCCGGAGGAAACGCACTGGGAAGTGTTTCTCCGACAGCAGGGACTCGGGGCGATCGCTTAAGGTACTGGCTATGTTACTACTAAGAATATTACTTTTGGGTTTTCTTTGTATCACTTTTTAAAACGCAGATTGATAGGTGTGGAGACTTCCATAATAATGTCCCATATAGAATTTGACTTTTAAAAGAGCTGGATTTTCCATAATGCATTGATTTCAGTTCAAGTGCATTTTTTATTATACTGGGGGACAGGTGGGCTTGCCAATGAAAATAATTTGAATCCGAATCCTTTTACAAAGAAAAGGCTCATTGAGGGATGAGTGGGAAAGGTGAAAGGGATTGATAAGTACAAACTGCCCGTTATACAAGTAGCCTTGGCTGTAAAGGACAGCATCGGGACTATAGGCAATCACACTGTAATAACTATGTTTGTTACGGGATGGGCATTAGACCTATGGAGGTGATCACTTCATAAGGTACATAAATGTCTAATCACTATGCTGTACTTCTGAAACTAATATAATATTGTATGTCCACTTTAACTAATACATAATTTAATTAAAAAAAAGAAAAGGCTCATTCCTGCATCTGCCTTTTGTGTAATTCTGGAGGTCTGTGTACTGGATCATGGGGTGAGCCTGGAGTGGCCTCACTCATTTGAATGGTGGTAAGAAGCCCCTTTACTGGGCCCAGGTGCCCATCTGGGCTGTGTGCTAGTGTGGATTGTAACTTGGAACAGATTTGTAGTTCAAAGACGGGGAGACCTACACACGCCAGGGTTAACTGTGGCCAGAAGAAGCAGCACCAACACGGGAGAATTTACCTTTAGTGTGACGGTAAACACCATCACAGTGAACACCAGCGTCCCAAAGGTCCAATTTCCGAATATCTGTGGGGACAGAGTCCAGGCAGCCTTTCGTTAATACGCATTTCCCCCCTTTCACACTCAAACGAGAGTGTTTAGAGCACACATCTCATTGTTGTCCTGCGCCAACACTTCACACCCCCAAGATACAGGGACTAGGTCTTGTTACTACAAAGTGAAAGGAGATGGCAGTGAACACCCTGGGCACTCAACCCCCCCCCCCCCACCCCCCGCTCCCCAGTGCCATCCCTCAGGCCAGGCAGTGACTGAGAGGTGGAAACAGCCCTTCCTACACTGACAGTCCTGTCACCCCCAAACTGGCTCCCTCGGTGCTGTCAACACACATCAGTCCTAACGTCACAAACTGGGAGCAAGAAAAACACTGAAGAGCAGGTATTACATATGCATGATGCTAACTCTGGCTTTTCTGTTTCGAGTTTCATGTCGAAGCGACATTTACCCGATTACCCAGTTCTACGCCTTCTGCACGTTCAAGAATATACTCAGTAGAGTTTCTGTCTATTCTCTTTCGGACTCAAGTCCGAGACCTGTCTGCTTCGGAAGAAAAGCAAGCGCTGGAACATTCTGCCAGTGAGCAGCCAGTGAAAACAACCACGTCACGTATGTGCGACACATGGTTAGGATTTCCTCGGGAAAATCGCAGGAAAGGGAGGAATGAGGCAGACAAGACAGAGCTGCGTGAAGGCCCCCTGCAGCCAGTCTGATGGCCAGAACCACAGACATGTCCACAGTCCCTCGGAAGGGGCTGCAGAGAGGCGAGAGCAGGGAGCAGGGCTCCTGGCACCCGAGGACCCGGGCAGGGTGCCGGGGATGGTGTGGGATGGAAGCACTCATGGGTCACATCATGAAAACAGCACATTCCCACCTACAGACAAAGACACAGCAAAATAAAACACCTGCTGCCGGACACTTCTTTCCCTCGGGGGGCAATTCTAAGAGTACGTTTCTTCCCGGTTTCCACACTAACCCTGCTGAGAAAACGCTGCTGTCCTTCTTTAACAGATTATAAAGCTTAATTTCACAACGAATTTAAAAAACTGCAATACAAATTTTCAACTACATGTGACTCGACTGAGATGAATGTGTAGGCTACCCATCTGGTGATATACCTAGTGAGGTAGGAACTCTGGTAGAATTCCAGAAGGAAAACTAAGTGACGTGTTAGGACTTTGTTGTAAACAGGCTTCCTAAGGATCCTGCCCCCAATGAGCATCTCTTTACACTTTATTCTTTACTTCAGCACCATGAGCGAAGCCGGGCTTCTGTCACTCGGAGCTACAATCACCAGTGGCGCTCAGTGGGGAGGGGGTGCGGGAACTCTGTCTCCAAGGGACACTTGCAGTGCCTGGAGACATTTTTGGCTGTCACCATGGGGGGTGGGGGGAGTGGGGGGAGAGGTGCCACAGGCATCTAGCAGGCAGAGGCCAGGGGCCTACTAATTGCACTGGGCAACCCACAGCCAAGAGCTCTCTGGCCCCAGGTGGCAATTCATGGTCAGGCTGGGAAATCCTCAAAAATGTGTTCTCCCTTCAATGCTTAACTTCCGAGGCGGGAACATTTATAACTGAGTCTGGCTGCAGCTTGGCAGAGGGCTACAACAATGCTTGGCCAGCTGGGTGTTGGAGAGAAAGTGGCTCTGCTTTGTTTTCACTGGAGGCCGATGCTGTTGGCCAAAGTGAGGGGCGACCCTGCTGTAAGGCGAAGGGCGGCTTTGAATCCCATGCGGGCACCATGGGTGGGACCTGGCACACCCTGCCCACTTGTTTTCCACCCCTGCTGGGCAGGAAACCTGGAACTCATTTTAAAAAGTGTTTGATAATAGCAAATTGTGGAAATGGAGCTGGCACAGAAGAGTGATAGGATATCTCCAACAGCATCACAAATCAGGAACAAGCTTTCAGCCACTCAAGTGACTTCTTTATTTCTCTCTAGAGGGTAAGGGGGTACTTCTCTAGGGCACCGCCAGGTTTTCTTGTATTTGTGGATTATGGTGGACCTGGGATCTCAAATTAGGCATCCCGATGCCTAGTCCAGTAAAACACATGGGCCTCCGCTGTCATGTTTACAGGTGAATAGCAACAAAGCACAACTACCTTGAACCCAGAATTGAAAATTTGGTTGGAACCCTGGGCAATGCTGGGATCTGCTCCACCCTCACCTATGCTCTCTCGCTACTTCTGGCTCTTTGAGATAGACAATCATGGTGACATCTCTATAAATTCCTCTGAATTTTCTTATTTGTTTTAAGGAAGCCCTTAGGCTAACTGCTAATAGAAAATGTATTATTAAAATTGTTTGCCATTATTTCTATGGATTTTGTGGTGGGAGGGTTGGGATACCAACCCTCTTTCTCAAAGAACTGTCTGGAGGGACCATCTTTTTTCAAGTTTCATTAGCTCCCATGCCCCCCCATGAGGCTGATTTCCTAACTGCTAACTCCATTGAGAATGTCACTAACTTCATAGCCTCACTCAGATGATAATGAGAATTTCGTAGAATGTCTCTGGAGCCTGCCACTCCACCAGATCTACATTTAATCCCTTCTCCCACTTCTTCCTCTCTCTTCTGAAGATGGGTATTTTGCAGGAAATGTTCCTGCTTTTTAAAGCTCTAAGATCCAGACCAATTTAATTTTTATGCGTAAAAACATCCCACAACAAACGTGACTTGCATTTTTTTCAAGATCATAGCCACAAGAAACACCTATTACATTTCCTTCATGCACAGATTCCGGATTGCTACCAAGTCTGCTGGCATAACTTGTCCTTGCTCCACTGGCTGGCAATGGCTCAAATTGCAGCTACCTGGATGTTTACTGCCTCATATTATACCATGCTCTAAACTTTCAAGTGTTCGCGTAGGAATACCCTGCTGTTCAACAATAATAATCATTGCTTTAGCATTCTCATTTGAGAAGTAATTATGGCTCATGACGTCTGTGCAGAAAATGCCCCTATGTGAATTTCCCTTTTTCAAAAGGTATCCATGATTCTAGTGTTCTCTCAAAACTACATGTGTTTTATAAACATTCCTATAAAATGATTCAGTTCTTTAAAAAAGTGGTCCTCCCCTACTGACAATCAATAAAACAGGGCACCTAATTATACCACCAAGAAGATGCATTCTCGTTTGTCAGGACACACCATCAGAACAGTGATGAGCATTATCACCTCCACGCTGCCCTGCCACCTTAGAACCAAGGGCATCGCCATCAGTCACCTGAGACTACCCTGTATTTACTGGCATTTTGCAGGTTTACTTGAATTACTACAGAACTAGCCTATGACACTACTTTTAGTTCTGCAAGTGATCTAACACTCTTCTCCCCAAACAAACAAAAATTTAAGCATCAACAATGCAGAATGAGAAAGGCTCCCTCTGGAGATGCCCAGGCACAGTGTGTGTGTGTGTGTGTGTGTGTGTGTGTAGAGCTACAACAGCAGACATGCAGCCTTGGCCTTGCACTTGACCTGGAGTGGCCTTGGACTATGCCAATCTCTTGGAGGTCCTGTCTTCCTAGTGACACAGGTAAGTGTCCACACTAGGTCCTTTACACCCTTACCACTCATAATTAGGGATGCTATGAGTATTATTCATCTTGCTGTTACAACTCTAGGTCCTTAGATTATTTACCTCCTATATAGCACTAGTGAATTGGAGCAAATTTCGCCTCTAAAATGCATACCTATAGACAGACAAACACCTCACATTAAATACCTTATTTGGCACCAACTGCCCCATGTACTGCTTCCTAATATCACTGTGTGTCTCAGAAGCTTTTCATATGACAGGATGTGCATTATGCGTGCTCAATCTTTGTCATGACAGGCAAGTGAGCAGAGGACTCTCACAGCTCTTGGCTAGTGAGTGGCAAGTCACCCACTAGGGATTTCTTAGTGGGAGTGGTACAGGTCAACTTGTGTTTTCTTTACCCTGGTCTCTCTTTCTGTCATTGTTTCAAATTCTAATAAATAGTTTTGTCCAATAATGGCTGAACAAAGGCATGCAAGTGGTAAGTATGGGCGATATAAAAGTGTTGCATCATTCTAGAAGTTGAGACGTTAGTATTTAGGATCTGTAGGGGCTCAGGGCATCCTTAAGGAAACAGGAAATAGGATATAAGTCAAGAATTGGTAGAAATCCTTGGATAATATGCAAGGCCTCAAAACAGCACCACATCCACTGAGCCACGGCGGTATAAGGAGTGGCTGGTGGAAGTTTGGTTGGAGACACACCAGGGCTACTGGAATTGGAGCAGGAGGAGAAGATGCTGCTCAGACGTCACGTTGGCAAGGCCTCTCTATGGGTCTGTACTTCTAAGCCCCACCACACTGGTCAACCAGCACTCCCTCTAGGTTCTTCAGGCGCACCTATAATTCTACTATGTAACACTGAGATTAAACAATTACTGGTAAGCAGCAGCATGGACTACAACAAATACTGTAATTTTGTAGCAAATATCCTGGGTTTGAGTTCTAATTACCTGACTTTGTACACATTTTTTAACCTGTCTGAAGTGAAGTTTCTTCAACTACAAATATGGGCGATGGCAGTTGAGAGAGGATAAGATTTGTGAACATGAACTACAAATAAAGTGCCTGATGAATGGCACTTACTTCCGTATCGGCTGGCTATCACGGTCCTGGAATTTCATCCTCAGGACACAGAAGCTTAGTTCTTTTTAAGATATATACGAGATGCTTACTTAAAGCGTAACCCATAAGGACAATCTTATAAAAGAAACATAAAGAACAATACGACAGCTCTGTTTAATGACATTTATGGCCTGCTAGCATCCAGAAATTACTCAATTAAAATAAACTAAGACAAAGAACAAATTCCAGAAAAATGCAAAGTTTGTAGAAGAGTGAAAGAAGACTTTAAAAAATTCTCAAGATCAATTTAGCAAAAACTGGTTTACGTTATAATGAAAGATAACTGCACCTTTTAGTAACAAGAAATGAGAAACAAATAAATGGGTAAACAAATTCCATGGGACCTATAGCAAGACCTTTGGGTGTCAAGTCAACAGCTCTAAGAGATGAGCCACACAGGAGGACAACATAGGGAGAAGTGTTCTGTCAAACAGGAAATGAAGCAAACTTCTGTTCACAAGCCACCCTTATTTACATCAACAACAGTGTTTATTTTTAGGGATAGGTAAATACGTAACATTCAGGTAGGGCACAATTCTGACATGTGCTCCATGTCTTTTGCAATTGTCCCAGGTAGCACGGGTTTGCCACATTCATAGCAGTGTCCCCAACAGGCCCCGCATGCCTGCATACGTTGCCTCTAATGTAAGGTAAAGGGAAGCTCAAACAAGTCAAACTGAAAACCGTCACTGACTCAGTGGCAATCCTGACACAGAAATCCAGAGATAAACACCAAGTACAATGATCAAATGTACACAGACTTCTCTAATACAACCTTCGTCTACAGGAAGGAGAGGGGAGCAGCAGCTAATAGTGTTTCTACTGACAAAGCACACAGAAGAGGTCACAATTTGAAAATATTTTCAAGAAATATTTATCTAGAATGCACTCCAAAAACATATAGAGGACACACCCACAATTGTCTTACCATGTGTGTGTTGGTAGTCATTATCTGAGAGTGGGAAGGAAAGGAAGTCGCAAAAAGAAAAAAATCAAGATACAAATAAAACAAACCCTAGAAATTATGCAACAACCTGAGAGCTGATGTCTATTAGAAACTATCAATCTACTCACTGCAAAGGAAACGGACATTTAAGGACATGTGAAAAAAAGGGGGAAAATGTGTTAAATACGAAATTCCCATATTAAATAAGCCATGCTTGGTGGATCTAACTGAACAGCTAGATAAATAATAAATGGTGAAATACAAGTTACAGAAACAAAGTCTGAAAACCCTCAGGAAGGGGATCTCCCACAGTAAGCCGAGTATGCGGACCAGTGCCTTTACTGACGTGCTATGACCTGTAAGCGATTTGGGAGCTGGAGACCCAAATATCAGGAGACCCCACAGGCTGCGCTGAATGACTGCACTGACCCCGGATGGAACACCAATCGAGGGTTATTCCCAAGCAGCCAAGTCAACAAGACCCAGTTCAGTACTAACCTGTCCGTTGCTGGTCACAGATGCATTTTCAAACATGAAGTAAGCACCAAAGAAAAATACCAGAGCGTCAAATACTCCTAAGAATGTCCAGTAAATGAACACTCGCCAGCGGAGTAGAGCGTTCTTGGTGATATCTCTGTGGAAGGAAAACAGTGAGAACATAGTGGCTGTGTTCCATTAAAATAGGCCTCGGCCAGGGACCCCGCTGTCTCCACTGTGCTCTGCAGTGAGCACCTGTGTCCACTAGGGGCCTCTAAGTCACTGGAGAGATTTCACAACCAGGGCACGGGCGTGGGCACCATCCGCCCATCCTACGTGGGTGTCCCAGTTTTACAGAATCTCTCTGTATTCTTTCTTACAACCACATGTGAATCTAAAGTTTTCTGAAGTACAGTAAGTTTAATTTAAAAAGCCATAAAAAACCCCTGTAACACAGACATATGCCAGACATCCTGAAGTGCAGTTCTGAAATAACAAACATCATTTCCTTGTTATTAAAACGTACTTTTCAAAAAGCAGAAAAGAACACACCAAAATCAGATCTGTTAACTCCACCCCCCACCCACTTCACTGAATAAAGCAGAGCATATGTGGTTTTTTAAGAATAATTTAGGTCATAGATGCACTGGGGTTATAAGGGGATAGACATCCTTACCCCAGTCTTTTCGTAATTTATCAAAAATCATGGTAAACAAATTAAAAAAAAGGCATGGTAAAGAAAACACAATATGGCAAAATATGAACTGACTTAATATGTACATTTCAAATGCAACATAAATCTTCTATCTAAATTTGAAGTATAATCAGTCAAATTACATTGATTCTTGCGTAAGGACTCCGGTAAAAGCAAGTGCATCAGCTGACACTGAATGTTTCTGGTTTTTAAGTAATTCAACCAGACATTTATTTGGAGGCACCACTCTCTGGCTGCCTCGTTATTATTCTCCAAGCTCTAAAGCAAGTGTGCCTGCGGCTTCGTACCTGTAGAGGGAAGGGTCCCTCTTGAGTGTGTCCATGCTGACGTGCTGCTCCATCAGGCTGTACAAGAGAATCGGAAGGGAAGTGAAACTGATGTTGTACAGTGTCAGGTAGGCGGTGTCGTACAGCGTCTGCAGGAAGGAGAACATCCACTGAAAACAGCACCCATGCACCTCGTTAAACTTTTTTGATTGTTTTGTTAAACATACATTTTTAATTTGCAAAGACTTTTAACATGAGCATTCTGAAATACAGACAGAGCCTTCTTTCTACAGATTTAGAAGGACCAGGACAATTTTCAAAGCTTCATGATGTCAACTAGTCAAGAGTAAAATCATGGCTGAGAGAAGGCCCGACGGGGACCCACCCCATTTCGCCACTGCAAACTTGCAACAAAAAGAGTTGCATAAAAGCTTGCAATTTTGATAGCCATCTTCAAGCTCCCATTTGCCCCAGTGCCAGACCCTTCAGATGGAAGCAGGTGGCCACAGCCCATCTGAGCAGGACAGGAGAACAAGTGAGCGAGGGAAAGGAGGGGCCCTGACAGTCTCCTCCCCCGTCAGACGGCCTGCATTCCTCTGCTCGGCACCTGAAAGTGTCAGAAGCCAATGAATTGTGAGACACCAAGACAGAATCTCAGATTTAGATTCAGTCCGTTCAGAAAGCCCAACACAGCTCTCCCGGGCTTGGGGTAGGCAGGTTACTCGCTGGGCCCCACAGGAGAGCCTGCAGTCAGCAGACGTGGGCCCCTCCACGCCACTCCTTCTCTCCACCCGCTGATGGGCTGCTGCGGGCACTTGGGCCTCCCTCCCCATCTGGCCTGATGCCTCTGCTGTCTACTCTCCCCCCATTGCAGCCACCCCCATGTGGGAGGGAGAGAAGGCTCATGGGGAGCGTCTGACTTAAGACATTAGGACTCACCTGCTGTGAAAACCCACAGAAGAACTGGTATAAAAACTGAGGGAAAATGAAGCAGACATTCTGAAAGACAAGTCACATGCCTGTTAGTTCAAGGGCACATTGGAAGAGGCATCTAAGTTCCTCCAAGGCTGTCCACGGGACACCACTTTATCTGGGGAAAGTGACCCAAAAGTGTCCTACATTCTCACAGGAGCAGGTAATGGGCTTTGCGTTTTTTCTCTTTTTTAATAGCACCTACAGTGCATATGTGACCATGTTCTGGTAACTCTGAGAACAGATAATGTAAAAGCAAATTTGTTGAAGAGATAGGAAGGAGTGGTGTCAGTGTAAACAGGAAAGAATCAAATTGCATAATGAATAAGGAATTAGTTCAAGGAATCATAAAAGAATGCCCCTTTCTCATTCATTTTACAACTGATATCTTCTTATTGATTCCACATGAAATCGTGTGAATGGGAGAAAAGCGCTCGGATCAGCCCCATCCTTGCTGACAATTACTTCTATTTTTACATAAATCACCCCTTAAGGCAGTGGTTCTCAACCTTCTGGCCCTTTAAATACAGTTCCTCATGTTGTGACCCAACCATAAAATTATTTTCGTTGCTACTTCATAACTGTAATGTTGCTACTGTTATGAATCGTAATGTAAATATCTGATATGCAGGATGGTCTTAGGCGACCCCTGTGAAAGGGTTGTTCGACCGCCAAAGGGGTTGAGAACCGCTGCCTTAAGGCATCTGTCAAATGTGTCATTCCATCGCGGGTACTATATTTCACTGAACAGTGACAGGAGCAAGGAAGTACTTCCTACCTTATAAAAGAAGTATTGCACAAGCTCAGATATCCTAATGTAATAAAAATGCCCATGAACGAGTAGCATCTTCTTTAAATGCTTAAATTTAGGTATTGCATAGTCACTGTTCCTTGCAGCCTGACGACCTTCCTTTCCAATGACACCTATGAGAAGAGAATAAATGTGCTGAGTACACACTTTCTCAACCACATGCAAGTGAAAATGGGAATAAGAAAGTTAGATACAACCATGGCTGTGAGATTTCTCAGTCATGAACGTACTAAGTCCCAGATGCTGCCCTGTGTCATCTGAAGCCTATGATCTTGCCTTTGGCTGTATCCCCTTCTTGTTAGCTGAAGTGATAAATCTCAGTTACCAAGATGCGCAGGAAATAAAAAAAGAAGAGGCTTACCTATGCCCACATGGGCCTCCAGGATCATGCTGACATCATTTGCGCCATCACCGATTGCTAATGTAATAGGGTGCTCTTTTGAAAATTTGATTAATTTAACAATCTGGAAAAGAAATACAGAATTGATCTTCTCTGTTTTACTTTTGATAAGGTTAATCATTAACTAAGTATAAATAAGGAAGGTATAAGTTAGGTAAGAAAAATGAAAAAAATTATTTACTTAGGTAGGAGTGGGGGACCTTTTTTCTGCCAAGGGCCATTTGGATATTATTTATAACATAATTTGTGGATCATACAAAAGTATCAACTTAAAAATTAGCATGTTATATTTGATCAAGCATTTAATTAACTCACCCCTAATGCCCTGGCAGGGCCAAACCAAATGATTTTGTGGGCCTTATACAGCCCGCAGGCTGGATGTTCCCCACCCCTGGCTTAAAGTAAGTGTACTACATTCGATCTATTTTATCCATATAAGATATATTTCATATTGAAAGAAAAACAAAATAAAGCAAAAGTAGCTAAGGTTTGATTACAGTGAGATAAGTATGAAACGGCTGGTTAGCAACCTGAAGACAGACATAAAACAGATGAAGTACTTTTCAGTTAGAGCTACACTCACATATTTAAACAGAGGGGAAAGTATATTTAAATATAAAAAGAAAAATCTGAACATTGGATTCTATTAGAAAATATTACTATTCCAAACTATTTGTTATCTAGCATCTACTTTTAAAAATAAGCTATTCTTAATGCTATTTTAATTTTCAAACTTGTCATGTGTGTAAAAACAAATCTGACAGTCCAATGCAATGAATAATTTCCAAATGTTTTAGCCAATTTCTTGGGACTCACTATTTTCCATTCATGTATCTAAATGATGGTTTGAGATACAGAAGTAAAAAGATGAGGGGGAAAAATGTGTAGATTGCTTTTTTTGTTTCAAGATGAGAGACTGAAACAAAAATTAATTTGTATAAAAGTTTGTTAGACTCGGTTCAGAGCCGTGTTTAAATATAGTGGATATAAGGTTTACATAGAATCAGACACATAAGAGGGCGGTAGGAAATAAAACCATTTTTTATCTTAGATAGAATGTATATGAGTTTTCAAGTCTCAGCTTGTCCTCACAAAGAATTACCCAGGGAGGTCGAGTCCTAATTTCTTAGTAACACTGCCACTTAACAGATTAGTGTAGTTCATGTGCGAGGATTCTAAACATGACCTCTTTGCATGTGATTTTCAGTACTTCACCTTAACCCACTGGGTTAGTCTGAACTGTTACTGTTTTCTTTCATGAATCATTCACAAGAAACTGGTCTAGTGTATCGAAAATGTGGTTTAACAAAACTGGAACTGTTGTAGTTTGATATCAGAAAGAGATCTATGTTCACATATGTATGCCATAATGCTTTAAAGAGTATTTTTTAAAAACCATCAGGTGTGTGTTTCCACAAGAATATGTTGCAGTGGGTAGAACATGAGTTTGGAGTCCGACAAACTGGAAACCAGATTCTGGCTGTAATTTTCCAAACGCCTCCTTTTAGAAACATTACCCTGGTTTTCTGCACCTCAGGTACTTCATTTGTAAAAGTAGATTAACATCAGCCATCTATCAGGCTGATGCTGAAGGTGCAATGGGTTCATGTGACTGGCTCAGTAACGCTGAGGTCACAACGTTTGCCTTCAGTGTGTATTCCTACCAATGATTATACCTTTGTGTGCGGTTTTATTTTACAAGACAAGTCAGCCAGAGACATCTCTCCTAGAAAGGGTCATCCATGTGATTCAGTGAACTCGTACTAATCACAACAAGCAAAACAAGATCCATGTTTTAAATTTCTGTCACATTTGCTTCTATGTAAAAACGGTGGTACTTTGCTACATTTCAAAAGAAATAATCAGTGGTTATGACAACCAGTGAATGGCTTTCAGTATTTAAATACCTGTCAATCTATAATTAAAAAAGTAATATGCTAATTAGACTGGACAACCTCCCAGACAAAGCCAGGGCTGCAAGGGAAGCCTGGGTCCCGGGTGCCAGAGGGAGGCCGGTGCCAGCAGCCAGGGGAAGGAAGGCCCACTCTTGCACGAATTTCATGCATTGGGACACTAGTTACTAGATAATTATAAGGGAAAGGAGCACGGACCTGGGCCTTCTGCAGAGGGGCCATCCGGCAGCACAGCACAGCGCTGCAGTTCCGGCAGATGTTCAGGAACAGTTCTCGGTAGTTGCTGCAGCTGCCATCTTCTCGGGGTTTCATTATTAAAGACAGCGCAGCTCCATCAATAATTAAACCATAGTCTTGCATATCTGTTGAAAGTCTGTTAATGACACAAATCAGAGAGATTCCTTAATAACTAAGTTTACAGGTTTTAGAAGACCATAACTTTCTTGAATATCTAGAGAGGCTACAAATCCATGATCAAGGGATTACAAAATTAGTACAGTAACCTGATGTCAATAGGTTCTGTGGCTTTAAGCCAAACGATATATAAGGAAACCGATTTTACCAGAGGCTGATGTACACAAGAGTTAAATTCCCATGGTGTCTCATCAACGTTATAGCGAAACAGCACTGAATGAAATGATGGTATTCAAGGACCTGCTTTACAGTAATCCCTCCCTTATTCTCGGAGAACACTTTCTAAGAGCCCGCAGTGGTTGCCTGAAAAGGCAGGTAGTACTGACCTATACACACTACGTTTTTCCCTATACATACCTACTTCTGATGAAGTTTAATTTATAAATTAGGCACAGTAAGAGACCAACAACAATTAATAATAGAACAATTATAATAATATACTGTAATAAAAGTTATCTGAACAGGGTCTCTCTCTCTTTGTCCCTCTTGTGGATACACTGGACAAAGGGATGATTCACATTCCAGGTGGGATGGAGGACGGCTTAAGACTTCACCATGCTACTCAGAACGTGCACAGTGAAAACCTGTGAATTATTTCTGGTATTTTCCATTAATACTTGCTGACCATGACCACAGGTAACTGAAACTGGAGAAAGCAAAACTGTGGCTAGAGAGGGACTATTGTATTTCTTGTTTTATCAATATGGTCTTTAAAGTACTCAATGTAAAGCCTTTGACTAAATTTTAAAATTGTGTTTTAATTAAACATTCACATTTCACGCAAAGCAAACACACAGTTCTAACTGTGGGTTCATGTGTGTGTCCCAGTACTGCCCGACCATAGGAGGAAAACATTTATCTTGCAGTCTGAAGAGGTCAGTCTTTATTCCCAAACTTCCCAGCCACACTGGCCACCCTCAGTCTATCTCACAGCGAATATCTCTTGGTATTATGCCTAAATGACTGCATTGGGAAGAACATGGTTATATTTCTCTTTGCTGGCTTTCAAAATTATAAGGAACATCTCCAATTCCCAAAAGGAACCCTGCAGATTAGGTGAAGGGAAATAGCTTTGTACCACTTATGAACATTTTAAAATTTGCATATGATCAGAGAGCTGCTTTTGCTTTACCTACATTAATGACAACCTAAAACGATTCAAGTAAAATCTATTCTTAGATCGTGCAAGTAACACCAGCAAGGACAACATTAATAAAATGTACCAGAATAAATTCTGAGTGTTCTTGGAAAAAAACCAACTCTGGAGCATATATTGTTTTGTCTTAACAGACAAGCAATCATGTATTATTAATATTTCTTTCCCTGGTCTGGCAGATGCCCTGAGGAATCCAAAGTACCATCTGCCCTCCGCCACCTACCCCCCCCCCCCACCCCCGCCACCCCAAGTGTTTTAGAAACAGATGAGAAGCGGCCGGTGTGGCTCAGTCGTTGAGTGTCAACCCATGAACCAGTAGCTTAACAAGACACATGAAAATGATCCCATTCACAGTATTTTATAAATCAATCAATCAAGTATTTTGTATCCTTTAACCAGCAGTGTGAAAGTACACACACACACACACCTCTCTTATGCATACAATCTGTGTAAAAAGACACATTACAGTTGCTAAAAAGAAATAGCTCTGCTCATGTTTCAGGTGGTCCCTCTAACCACGCTGATGCTGTTGCTGACAGGAGGGCAGAACCACATTCCCAGCAAGGGTGTTGAGGCTCTCTCCTTGCAAACAGAGGTCACCTACCCTGAGAGGTTGTCCCTGGTTAAGCTGCCGTTGCAGCGCAGGACAGTTTTACTCAGCTCAAACAGGACATCATGTAAACTCTGCTCCTCGATTTTCTTGGTGGTTAGTTCAAGCAGCTGTGTGTTCCTCCTGAAAAGTTTGCAGGCGTAGCAGGTGGCTGCCGCCGTCTCCATCTTGTCCCCGGTGAGCACCCAGACTTTGATGCCGGCCTTCTGCAGAGCTTCTATGGTGTCGGCAGCTTTCTCCTGGAGCCTAAGAACCCAAAAACGAAACAACAAACACCAGGGCTGACAAAGGCAAATCAAAACAAACCATTTCAGAAACTTGTGACCTATTAAAATATTTTAATAGGCCTTCAGAATTAAAAAGCACCATGGCGCTGACTCATGGTCTTATGGTAAAGTGCCCGAACCTGTCTTTAAAGTGGATTAATTTTTTACCCCTCCCCCCAACTAAACACTTTCTAATATCTAATAGATAACATGGACAGAATATCTAGAAGTAAGGGCTGTCTTGCATGGCCATACACCAGCATGACAGTTTCGGTCTAGCTGGGACTCACTGCCCGGAGAGGCTTTAGGCAGCTGTAAAAAGATCATAGAGCCATCAACAACAAAAAGTCTAACCCAGGGAAAAATGAGATCTGGAAAAGAGATGGTCGGTACTATTCATTACCTTTTCTTTTGGCAAAAACTGTTCAAATTTTGCCTCTTATCACACTGGAGCCAGGTTGCTGTAAACCACGGAACACACTGACAATGTCAGCAGAGATTCTATGGCTAGCAGGCATCACAAGCTTCCCAAGGGTCGGTCAGCTGCTGTGTGAAGCGTTTCTCGTGTGACATTTCACTTTTATAACCAACGTAAGGGCTGAGGACTTGACCACCACCCCATTTTACGTGTGGAAAACCCAAAGCTGGCAGAGGTTACAAAACGTGTCTGAGGGTAAACGGCTCTCTTGACATTGGTCAGACCGTCTCGCTATCCATGGAAGTCTGGCATCAAAGCCATGCTTGCCTCCTCTGGGGGGCCTAGCATTTTTCTCGGTTTTAGGGTCTGAGGTTTTGATAGGCGTGGGGAGTAACGTTGTGTCTCTCTGCCAAGCACTGCAGAGAAGAAATGGATTCAGATTCTGACTGGGAAGATTTGGTTAGATGTAGGAATCATCCTCTAAGGTTGACCACACAATCATAAGTATTCTAGAGAGAGAAAAAAATCTCTAATTTCACCTTTTTTTTTTTTAAGGAAACTGAGGCTGAGGGTGGTCTGCAAAGAGGCTGGCCAGAGATTTTAAAGATGTACACAAATATCATCACTTCAAAGCCACTGGCCCCTATATGTGCCCACCCACGCCAGTATCTATTATCAATTACTTTGATGTCTCAACTCCCCACTGACTCAGTCTGCTCCACAACCTTCTTGAGGGGCCCCTGCACATCGGCTCTGCTTGCTTGGTTCCTCCATCCGTAAGAGCCTTCCACTTTCCCACCATTTCCTTGCAGGCTCAGGCCCACCCCCGCCAGGCAAAACCACCCTACGGAGTATCTCTCTCCTGCCGAATGCACAGCTCCGTTCTATGACTACCACTCCACGCTGTAAACCTGTCCTGTGCATGTTATGCTTTCTCATGTTTATACTTGTGTCCATACCTGTTATTCTCTGGACTGAATGAGGAAAGGGACTAAAGAAATAAAAAACAAACAAACACAAAAAAACCCAAGCAAACATGGAACAAACTGATCAGTCTCAGAGGGAAGGTAGGGGTGGGTGGGTGGGAAGAGATTAACCAAAGTGTATGCATATATGCCTAACCCATGGCCACAGACAATAGGATGGTGGAGGCCTGGGGTGGGGGACAGGGGCAGACTATATGGGGTCAATGGGGAAAAAATGAAACATATGTAATACTTTCAACAATAAAGGTTTTAAAGAATAAATGGGACTAAATCAAACCAAAAAGCTTTGCACAGCACAAAACAGCAACAGCAAAAACAAAAATACCAACAAGACAAAAAAAGACCTAATTTATGCATATATAAGTCAAATCTCAGAGATGGGTGGGTGAGTAGATGGGAAGAAGAGATTAAAAGAACTTATATGCATATATGCATAACCCATGGACATGGACAATAGTGTGGTGAAGGCCTGGAGTTGGGGCGGCAGGGGAGGGGGTCAATGGAGGGAAAAAGGGTACATCTGTATTGCTTTCAACAATAAAGACTAATTTAACAAACAAAAAACAAATCCAAACAAACCCAAAACTTCCTGCATTGTCCAATCTCATGCTATTGAGATTGAGATTGCAGTAAATGCTTGTTAAAAACACGGAAAAACTATAGGTTTCGGGTTAAGGATTTAAATTTTGACCAATATATAGATATTAAAGACTTTCAACCTTTATGGGAAATAAAATCTCAGTAAATGTATTGAAGCTTCTATTTTATTCTTTTAAATTGGAATAATTTTTTCTTTTCCATTTCTTTACTCTGTTCTCAGCGGGCCCATGGCCATTTCTTAGTGCATTAAGCCTTAAGTAACTTTAAGCTCTTCTTTCAGACTTGTCACAGATTGGAGGCTCTTTCTTCAGTAATTTTACCAGTTCTTCTTATATTATTTGCAATATTCCCCTTGATTACATTGAGCATGTTAAGACCTACATTTTTACACCTGCATTTAGAAAGAACTAGTAACAAATTTAGACACATATTAGTTATTGATTCCATTCCAAAGAATAATTTTAAAAATTAACCCTGTAAGGTATCTTGACTATACATAACATAATTCAAAAATGCTGACTAATTCTGGTTTCTTCTGCAAAAGTGTGAATTCAGGAATCTTATTCATGGAAAGTGAAACATCACCCAGTCGTGAGTTTCCTGTGATAGCATCGCCCCATACCTGCCCCCCCACCCCCCGGCATGCAGTCAGACAGTCTGTCTCTTCCGACCTGTGAACACAGGCCTTCCGTGTGGCTGACACTTTCCTCTGAAGCACCCGTGAGGCATCAAGCTTTATTTCTGGAGACAAGGCATAGTGTTTACTTACTGATCCTCAACGGCGGTAGCACCAAGCAGAATAAGATCTTTCTCTATCTGCTCATAGACTTCTGCTAATTTCTTTTCTCGATCTTGAAGGGCCGTCTTGCAAGCCTGTAGCAATTTATAAAAGCCTTCATATTCTTCTGGGCTGAGCCTTTTGTAGGCAATGCACAAAGTCCGGAGCCCCTCCTATGTGAGACAATGCATTTCACGTGAATTTGAGGGTCACTGTGCCAAAATATCATTTTTAAATAGCTTTCTTGATGTTTCCTTTCTCTAATTCAAATTACTAACCAAAGAATTCTAAGCCAACCAACCCTAAAATGGGTTGACCATTTACAACTGCATTATTCACGTTTACATCAAATATAATCATTACAGATTACAGAAAAAAGTCAAACTAGTAGGCATGGGAATAAATAATAAAATCAGGGCCATCCAAAGATAAGACTTTGTTCTTTTATTTTGAAAAATGAAGAGTTAAATTTTTTTTAGGGTAATAATTTGCAATTCTATGGTGAATACCAAATAATATTTCTAAAGTAAACATTTTTTACACGGGAGTTTGTGATTCCATTTGATCTTATGCAGCACTTGCTGAAGGTAGCGGCTAGGCTATGTATCAAACCCACTGGGTCCACAGGAGAGTGAAATAAAAATCTAGGAATAACAAACTCTCTGCTGTGATCATAATTCTGGACGTCACCACATAAAGAGAATGAACGCACCACCCAGCCAGTGAGGCACACGCAGAACACTGGATCACATCAATGTGTTAGCGTGGGGCTTTCACAGCAAGAATGTGCCTGTCCCTTCCTCTCTGCCCGGCAGAATGGCTACAGGGAGATGGTCTTCTGCCCCTCAGAGAGAACATTAGCAGATTTCCAGGAGCTGAGAGAAGGCTCGTGGCATAATCTGAAAGAAGTGAGCATGTTCCCCTATGCACTGTGGGTACACAGAATGCCTGATGAAAAGTTTAATGTCAGAAAGCCAAGTTGTTAAAGAGTAGAGAGAAAAGTTTAAAACCAGTTATAAGAGAAAGGGACCACCTGGTTAAGAAATGGGCCACAGAGGGGGAAGTCTTATACCCTTTTCTGCAGGAGCCCCTAGAGCAGGAGACATAATGCCATAATAGTACGCTGTGGGAACCCTAATTTTAAAGTCTGGGTTTTCCTGATGCCCAGGCAGCGTTGTTTGGATAGAACACACGGAATTCCATTTTGGATCCATGAACTTCCTTTCATTCAGATATGACTTGCGTCTGAAGGAGTGGGAGGGGTGCACCGGAGAACCCGGCGGGCGGGGGGAGAGAACACCCTCTCCCCGTCCTGGGCAGAGACCCCAGGGTTCAGCAACAAGCATCCCCTGTCCAGAGCCTATGCCACTGACTTGTATGGTGATTGGTGTGGCCGGGGTCACACAGCCATCCGGCCACAGTGGGAAAAGGCCTCGCTGTCATTTCAGATATGGTTTTTTTTTTTTTTTTCAGGTTTCCAAAGTGTTCTTTTAGCCCCAGGGCATCTGTTTCAGGCAGTTCTGCCTCTGTATCTATTATTGTTCAAAAGTTTATGATGGTCTCTATTATCCATGAATGAGTGAGGTCATGTGGTATTTGAAAGGACTTGCAGATGGGGCTGCCCCCTCAGGGGTCACCTTGCACACCCTGTATTAAAACTCGTCGTCTGTAAGTGGACTACATTCAGCACGTGTACACTTAAGTGCTTAAGAGAAGTCCTTCATCTTCTATTCCAACAGACTCCTCACCTCGGTGGGGAGCAGAAATTTGTGCCATTATCATTTTCATGATCCCATACACAAAAGGTTCCCTAGTCTTAAACCTGCAGCTCATTTACTGAATGGACCAGTAGGTGTTACTTGGCGCTTTAATACGAAGTGGAAGCCAAAGGGTTTGCACATGGCAGCCACACTGAACAGAGTTCACCCCTGCAGCAGCTGCTGCTGGCACGCGTGGTCTCAGTGGAAGAAGCGTGCTTCTCGGACAATATACACATTTAATGCCATAATACTTAGAGTCAAGCCGGGGGGATGTGTCTATGAAGAGCCACCCATCACTGGCTTACAGTCTGATGTGGAGGGGAGGAGGGTGGCCCTGTGTCAGAGATGCACAGCTTGTCCCACACCCACAGCAGACCTTGGAGAGGGAACTGGAGCCTGGGGTGGGAGGTGGAGGGTTAGGGGGAGCTCGAAAGCTCAGATTTGCCGACAAACTGAACAATATTGAATTTATAGGGCAGACTATGCTTCAGAATGAGAGGTGGGAAGAAGACCACACAGGTGAAGACACATAGAAAGCCTAAGAGCCGACTGATTTTTGAAAAGGAATCATTAGAGATAATTCAGCATAAAGATCTTTCTCCAATATAATCACCACAAATGTGCTTATAATGTGGACCCCACAATCACCTACCAACTAACCCAGCCCCCACCTCAAAATAAAAGGAAACCAAATATGCAACAGGCTCCTGAGTCCACCTGCTGGGGGTGGTACCCAGGTCGGAACACTACCCGTGTGAAAATCAACGGGGATTTTCCAGGTTGTGCACACGTGGTCCATTCGGACTTTAAGGTGTCTCTTAAAGCCACGTGGCATCCTCAGTGGGAGTCTTTCCTTCCTGACCCGGGAGAACCATGGGGCCCGTGCCCGGGAGCCTCCATCTCACCACAGCGTTCCGCTCCACTCGGGCTCGGATCTGGTCGACTTTGCCTTCGATTACTCGGGGAAATATTGAAGAATCTGCTCCTTTGCAAAAGAGAAAAATTTCTCCTAGAAAATGAGAAGGAAATAAAAAGATGTTTGATTTAATCACAATTTGGGGAAGACTAAATTAGCTTTCATATTATACTACTAAGAAACCAAAACAGGGATACCAGTGCTGAGACTGTTGTAAAGGAGATTTCAATAGATCAGCTAACATGTAAAGTCAGGAAAAAATTAAATCTACAGATCACCCCAAAGCCTCATGTTATCCTTACGACCCTAGACACCTCCTAGGAAAGCCACAAACAAGGAAAACCAAGTGGCTCCGGGGTGCCCTGCCTCCTGTCACTCTGCCTTCTCTCGGGTTAGGATGTGAGTAAGCAACAAAATGACCCTGGGATCAGGAGCGGGTAAGGAAACGAAGGGTGTGGCTGACCCAGAAATGGGGATAACAATCTGTGAAATACTAGGAGGTAAACAAACGTCAAAACCCAGTAGAACGCAACGCACTCTGACGTAGAATACAACATCTGAGTCACTATCAACCAGAGTTACAAGACATGTCTGTTTTATCATTGTGGCTCCACCTTCCAAGTAATGTCCCAATTACTATGCACACATTTGTCCTGTAGATGCATGCTCCTTGTCCCTCAAGATAAAACCATTTTCTCTTCCAGATAAGTAGGGGGACTCTCTAGTCTATGACAAAAGGAGGTAACAGAGACAGAGGCACCAGCCCTGAAAGACAGGCCCCTTGGACGTGGAGGCTCCTGGCCTGCAAAGCCACGGGGCCCTTTGCCAAATGGGCTTTGCTGATATTCAGCTCATGGAGGGAAAAGCTGGGCGGCCCGTCACAGGCTGCAGGGCTTGAGAAGGGGCACTGCTGTCTTCTTCTTTTCTTCAGACAGGAAGTTCGAATGCTGAGCTCCCTGGCCCCGGGTTGATCCCTAGGAACCCTAGATGCTGACGGCCCTCAGAAGTACATCTGGGAAACCCAATCCAGAGGCACCAGGAGAAGCCAGCAATGGTCCCACCACAGCAATGACCCCAAGTGGGGCGGTCAGGGAGGGGCTGTGTGCAGGGGCTAGGGAGACCATATCAGCTGGTGCACACGGGGAACCCACCCGGGCCCATTCATGTACTCAGCTACAGTATGCACAGTGCACCTTGGCTTATTTCCTTGGTCCCAGAAAGAACTAATTCCTGGGATACACACAGTGAAAACATTAAAAATACAGCACAATTTATGCTAACACAAGTCATGCAATTAAGCCAAGGGTAACGTCAACCTTTGGCCAGAAAGGATGGTGTCTGGTGATGTCTGTGTTGCCAGCACATGACCTGAGCTATGGCTGAGCAGAGGCTGGGACAGACCTGGGAGCACAGCCAGCCACTCGGAGCAGGAATCCACCAGAACAGGAAGTCCCATCCCTAGAAGACGCCCATGCGACTGCCCAGGTCTGTGACCTGGGATTCTTAGTCACATACCAACCACCTGATGTCAGAATTCATTCCCATCTGCCAGACAATTTCTAGCCAGTGTTCCTATGTCATCAGATACAGCCTGGAGCAAGAACTGTAGTCCAGATGACATAAAGATACCTCCTTAAACAATAATACATTTCTTTTTCTAGGAAAATCATGGTGACTCATAGTAATGGCTTGTAAAAGGCTTAAATTCTTTACTGTCTCTACTTGTTGAGTCCTCAATGCCCACTTGAGACATGGAACAAGTTCACAGTCTTAAGATATGGGTGAGGAGAGACTTGGATTAAAAAATCCCCACAATATAAAGCACAATATAATCTTCAAAGACAAGAGCAGACACTATTTGCACCAGCTTTAGACCTTCTTTTCCAAGTTTGTAAGCAAGCAGGCAGCTACTAATGCAGAGCAGTGCATACACAGGTGATAAATAAGATATTCAGCACACAGGTGAGGTGATCCTAACCTGCAGCAGCTCACACAGGTGACCTGATGCTAAGCTACAGAAGAGCATGCTGTGGAACCGAGCTCAGCTCTGAGGGCTGTAGCACACTTCTCAGCGGAGAGCTCTCAGCCAGAAACTCAAGTTGTTAACTGGCTGTCATGGCCTATAGTCTCCAGTCTGCCCTAACGGAGTCAAGGGTCCATTAAGCTGTAAAACCAGTGCAATCAGTGTCATCTCCGGGGAGGGGTTACTAATTAGAGAACAACTTATTGAATTAAATATTCAAACTTCTCTTACAATGAATTGATGCAGTGGCCAGGTCAGATGGCATGACTGTCTCCCCTCTAAGCCCACAGTTCCTCAAAGATGCCTTCGGAAATATGTAGATACTCTAATGACGTGGATGCCTTGGGCATAAATTCTTAATGTGACCCCGCTCCTTTTCAAGCTCTCGTGATGCCCTTTTTGATGGTAAATGGAAGCTGTTAAGGAAGATTCCACGGTACATCCCGTGGGTGCCAGCACTGTGACCATGCAGTTCAGGAGAATGCATAGGTGGGGCAGGAGACGGTTTGCGGGTAACGGGTGCATTGCTTCCTGAAACTGTGATCATTACTGCAGGCTCAGGGCTGCTGCATGATTCAGCTCCTAGACTTCACATTTGTAAGGGGGAAAATATCAAGACATAAAGATTTCCACAATGCAGTGCCTTTCTTTTGGAAAAATCTGAATGGCTTCAACTCGCAGGAGAGTCCTTCATTTGTGCACAGTGAAATAACCGTCTGCACTTGGGCAAGCGTTAGCACATTGACCTGAATTGTTTCAAACATCATGATCTGTCTGCTTCCCATGTCCTGCTGATCCCACTGGTAAAATCTCTGTTTCCATGTGTATGGGCAGTGCTCATATTATAAACTATTTTATGTCCCATGATATTTAGGGCAAGTCTTGCTGGTGGAGCCCACTCTTATCCACGTAGGAGAAGCTGGTTCAGAGGGGAGGGAAGCATGTGGATAAGAGGTTTGGCCCGGCTGGCACAGCTCCGTGGTTGAGCATTGACCTATGAACCAGGTGGTCATGGTTATTTATCAGCCAGTTGCACATGCCCGGGTTGCAGGCTTGTTTCCTAGCAGGAAGCATGCAGGAGGCAGCTGGTCAATGATTCTCATCATTGATATTTTTCTCTCTCTCCCTCTTCCTCTCTGAAATCAGTAAAAATATATTTAAAAAAGAGAGAGAGAGAGAAAGAGAGATCCAGCTCTACGACAGCCAGCCCAGCTCCCAGGACAGCTGGGGCACTGCCACCAGGCTCAGCATCCAGCACATGGAGCTCCACTCTGTGAAAAATATCGCACAGGGCAGACAGGCCTTTGGCAACCTCCATGGTCTTAGAGGAGAAAACAAGGTATTGCTGGTTCTATCAGAAGATAGTCAGAATGGCTCTGTTTAATGAAAGGTACTTCGTTTATTTACTCCCCATTGAAATGAAATTCTCTCCACATGAGTGTTAGATAAGCACTGACATAAAATTCCCCAGCATGCCCTCAGGTCACTATTTTAGGCTGAGTCTGTTTAGTTGTAGGGTAGTGGCTGCATTTGGTTGCTCACCAGGCAACTTTCCAAAGAGATAAACATAGCCTGGTATTACCTAGTTTTAAGAAACCAAATAGAACAAGATCCCACATCTCTTAATAAAATGCATTTTGAAGGTGCATTCGTAAATTGAACTTAGCAGTATGTATTGAGCAGTCACTGGTAGTGCTGTGGTGGATATACTGCTGAGAAAAGCATCGGTTCTGCATTTAGGATGCTTGCAGTCTAGCCAGGTCAGAAGACAAGCAGCTCATCTGACTGAAGCAACCAGGACAGGCTTCCTACCAGGTGGCTGTTGAGCTGTCCTTGGAACAGTTCAAACGAGCAAGAGGGCTTCTAAGTATAAAAGTCCCCACCAGGTAGAGAACTTCAGGTAGAAAACTCCCCATCAGGTGGAGGGCCTCCCACTGAAACAGTCCATGCTGCGCACATTCTGAGGTTGCTGGGAATGAAAGCTAGAAAGGCAGCTCAGGGCTTCCATGAAGAAACCCTGGGAAGGTGTGGCGGCCTGATACCGAACAGGCCCAGCCAGGACAGCGAGCGTTCGGGGGCCTTAAGAAGACCGACATGGTGGCCGGATGATAGAAAGGTAGAGGCTGCAGATGGAGACCTTGGAAAGCAGGAGCTGTGTGAGGACTGAAAGGAAGGGGGAGGAAGAGACACTGAGGAGATAGGCTCTGCAGGCCCTGTCGCCAGCCTACGGTGCCTGGGAGAGAAACAGGAACATGAGGAGCTGAGGGGTGATGTCACCTGCAGTGGGTGTGAGGGGCTGTGCGACCTGCACGGGGTGTGTGGAGCTGTGTGACCTATAGTTGTTTCATCTATGTGCTGTTTTTTTTTTTTTTAAAGAAAACAGTTAAATCTTTAAAGCTCCTGAAGAATGTGAGCATCAGAAAACCAAGCACAATGTATAATTTAAGACAACAAAGAAAAATAAATTTCTACCTGTATCAGATTTTACAATTACACTCATTCTCCTTCTTACTGAGTCAAAACTCAAAATTTCCAGCAATTCAAACCTGAAAAATAGATGAAAATTTGTCTTTAGTACCCATCTGGCTCTGTATGTCATAAAATCTGGGTATTTATCAGCCTTTCCACAGAGGAATGTCCGGAGTAGTCTCTCCTCACCACGCCCAGGGCTTTGAAAAGGTCACCTCCATCCATGCCCCACCCTACCTCTGCCTGGAGAGCACCCCTGATAGCAGCTCTCTGGGGTTGGGGGGGAGGGGAATGGAGAATCTGGGCGTAGGGCAGTTTCCTCCAGACACATGGGAATGTCTGGATTCATGTGACTGGTGATCTGCTCCACGCTGCTGCCACCAGTGCTCATCGGGGACAGAGGGCGGCTGAGGCCGGGCTCTCATCTCACCACTAGAATACCTGGTCTTGGATATCCGCCTCCCACCCCCAGCCTGCATTACACGTGCTCATGGAGTTTGTGCATCAAAAAAACGATCTATCTTATGTGCTGATTCACCTTCCTAAATTCTGCTGAACACAGATCCACAGGTTGTATTAGAGCTTTTGATCCCTGAGAATAAGCCAGTGTCCTTTAAATTCATGAAAGTCATCAGAAGACTCATGATTTCTGCCTGGAGTTTGAAACTTTGAAAACAGCTGAGCCACCGCTCACATTACCTCTGAAGACTCCTTAGGGTCTAGAGACTCCAGCCAGGGGCTCAGAAGTGACTCTGAAACTTCTGTGATGTCAATCCCCGCTCACAACCTGAGGACGGGGTTCAGAACTGGCCTCCCCAAGAGGTGCCACTTTGGCAGGTGGGTGGATTACTTTGAGCTGAAGACAATCGAGCCCTTGCAGGCTCATGAGAAACTTGTACCTCTCCCTTACATAATTTAAATTAGGGGCCTTGCCCATAATAAGAGCGATCATCATCCCTGACCAGGTGGCTCAGTCGGTTGGAGTGTTGTACCATACACCAAAAGGTTGTGGGTTTGAATTTGAGTCAGGGCATATACAGGCGCAGACAGGAGGCAACCAATCGATGTTTTTCTCACACACTGACCTCTCTCTCTCTCTCTCTAAATCAATAAAAACAAAACAAAGATTTTAAAAAATAAGAGCTATCACCAGAAGTAACATTTTTTATCTATCTCCATGGCAAGGTAAACATCTAGTTACTGAATACCTGCTCTTCTTATCATCCTGTGAATGAGCTCCCCTCTGAAGCCCCAAGGCAGGGGTGGGGAACCTTTTTTCTGCCAAGGTTATCCATAACCTCATTCTCCAGCCATACAACATTATCAGCTTAAAAATTAGCCTGCTGTATTTGGCCAAACATTTAACTTACTCACGCCTAGTGCCTTGTAAAACAATTCTGTATTACGTCACAATATAATGTACAATATTCTTACCTTTCAATGTAATTATCCCTATTTAATATCTCCATGTGGTTATCCTTTAGCCGTAGGTACGTAAAACCAAGCCTGTAGAGGAGAAGGCAAACCCAGTGGTTAATTTGAAATTTTGATATTTCTCTTTCAATAAAATATTTCTGTTTTACATTCTGGTAAAGCTTTCTTTTCGAAAAAGAAATACTCCTGGCAAAACAGAGGAAGTAAACTGAATTATAAACTTAGGAAATTATAATACTGAACTTAGCATCTCACAAAAATTCTCCAAGGACCAAATGAATTTCTGACTTACCCTCCTAAGCACCACAGTGGTGATGCCCATTCTTACTGGTAGGTAAGAAAAGGTTTCAGAAAGACAGCAGGGGTGTGGACTGGTCCCTGGCTATACTGACCCAGTTTTACTCACTGATCAGTGGGGTTGTTCCGTAGAGGTTACATGTCAGAATCAGAAGGACCCTGAGAGACTGTCATTGTCCAGACCAGCTCTCACTTCACTGAAGAGGACACTAGCTCTAGAGCAGGCTGCCAGGCAACAACGTCTGCAGAGCCCTTACTCTAACACCCTCCTCCTCCACCGCACACACATGGAGCCATGGGTGGTTAGGCACATGCCAGGAGTGGGGGCAGGAAGAGGGCGTGGCTTCTGGATTCCAGGACCTGACAGCGTGGGAGGTGAAAGGTATCAACCTAATGACACAGCATGGCGCCATAATGGTAGGAAGGCACCATGGGACCTTGGGGCCCCATCCCAACAGGAGCTGGGGGTTTGGGGGGCAGCTGAAGGAAAGGCTTCTTGGAAGGTGAGTCTAGATAGAATGACAGGCAGGAGCAGCCTGTCCTCACTTCTGATATCAATGACTGAATGTGGCTTAATTTCTGAAAACACCTTTTCCAAGAAGAGAGAAATCTGGCTTTGAGAAGTCTTCTATATGTGCGTGTGGATTTATGCACTTAATAACTGACATGATTTACATACTTATGTCACTATTCAAACTTCATGGGAAACATACATTAGTTTAGTCAACAATAAAAACACTCTTCTAATTAGAGGAGAGGTGTTCAACACCCACTTATCAATGGCAGCAAAGCGGGAAAATTAGTACCATTTGTGTTAAATTTGAATTGTAAGCTGTGATCATTAGAAGAACATTTCCCTTGACTTGAAATTATGCCACATATCTGGAATATTTAAAGTACTTTTCCAAGTGTTTGCTTAAATGCTGCATGTCATGAGGCAGCAAACACTCCCAATAAAAAGATACTGAAGGAGGGAGGGTGCAAGAAGCACACAGGCTTAATATGATAGGACACAAAGACAGGGAAGCTAACAGTAAAGAAAACCCCGGCACCCAGCTTAATCCCTCTCCATGTTGTGTGACTTTGGGAAAAAGTTGCTTGACATCTCTGGGCCTCAATTCTTCAGGATGGATGAGGAAGACCTTTCATGAGGGCATCTAAGGTTGCTTGAGTCATTAAAAGCTTGTGATGATTTGGAAAGGCCTCTAACCTTCTTACTGAAGAAGTGAGGAGAAAAAACTACCCATGTAAGACAGTGACAAACACTGGCAGAAGGGACCAAGCTGCTTCTCACGCTGACGGCAGGTTGTGGAGGTCAAGGGGACACTGAGGCGCCGGGGAGAATCTGCCTGTTGCAGATGACCAAAGCAGTACCTGCTCGGTTCACTCCTCAGTAAGCCTTCCCGGCACAGGGGCCTGACTCAGGGCAGGTCCAGTGTGAGTCCAGGAGGAGTGCATTGTTGGGGTGGAGAACTCCAGGACCAGCTCAGCCCACCCCTCACAGCTGAGACCAGACTCGCGTGCAGCCAGAAACGTACCTCTGGACACCCTCCACTAAGGCCACCTCGTCGGGCGAGGACGATATGTACACACAGGATTTCCCTGAGTCTGGTGACTTCCTGGGCCCGTCCACGTCATCGTCATCCTTCACCTGGACGGTGTGGCACAGGCAGAGGGCCCGGAAAAACAGCTCTTCTCGCTCCTACAGAAATGCAGGACAGAAACGCACACATCTATGGCATATCGGCTTAAAGGAGGAGGAAACCAAACAGAAGACAATAAACAATAAAGCAGGCATGCAACTCTTAAGGGTTAGGGAGTATTAGTTTTGCCTCCGATAGTCAGAAGGTAGAGTGTAACTGTGGCTTTTGTTCATTCTTGAGCACTTCCACAGTAGCTACGATCAAGACCAATGGGCTATGAAGACGGAAAGGAAATGAATGTAGTGAGAGGAGGTGACTGGTTCAAGGTCACAAGAGGAGAACACGGCTGGGCGGAGCCTTGGGCCAGCGGAGGCTGCCATGCAGGGTCTCAAGGAGCCTGGGTTCCCTGGGGACTCCAGGAAGCTTTCTCAGGGGTTCTGGGATGTCACGGTGGCTGAGGGGGGCCAAGGAGGGCTAGACTTGCATCACATGTGCTAGGCAGGGGAGTCCAGCAAATGGCCAGAGGGTGCAATGCCTGTGGAGCACCTCATGAAGGCCATAGACCACCTGTCCGCTCCTCTCAGACTAGGTGAAATCACCTGAGGCATGTGTGTGTGTGGGTGGTTCGCTTGGTCACAACGGGCAGTCACAGCCCAGCCCACTAAAGCAGCCATCCTTGGTGCCCTCGGGGACACCACACAGGACTCTGCGGTCACCAAGACAGCTGAGGGTCACGGCTGCTTCCTATAAATGCTGAGATCTGAAGCCACCGTATTTGGTGTATGTGAGTGCATGTCTCTGTGCGGGTGAGTGCATTGTGTGTGTGGTCTCTACCTGTGTGCACACATATGAGGATATGTGTGTGGGGTATATCTACATGTGCACAGTCTGTAAGTACATCATATATGCATGTGTGAGTATGGGGCATGGGTCTCTGTGTGCATGTCTATGTGCACATATGTGCATGTGAGCTCGCATGTGGGTTTGGGTATGAGTGTGAGCATGTGTATAGAACAAGCACATGTGGTATGCAGGTCACTTTGCTCACAGCTGACCATTTTCCTGCTCATCCACATTTTTAAAGCTGTTCCTAATATGATGTGACTGGCCAGATGAACTGGTGGGAAATGGTGGCATCTTACCATTCTTCTCACTCAAGTCACTGGAAGATTCATGTCCTTCCTGGATCCCAGACCAGAGGGGTTACCAGGCTACCTTGTGAACAGAGACAGTGCGACAGTGTTGGTCCAAAAGGTCAAACACTTACCCTCCCACTGACCCCCGGGGAGGAGTCAATCATGTCGATGCCAGTGGCGCCGGGGAGAACCTGCCCGTTGCAGATGACGTGCGGCACGTAGACATGGCCCTCAATGCAGCACTCCTTGAATTCCATGTTGTTCTCGGTGAGAGTCCCAGTCTTGTCTGTGAAGATGTACTCCACCTGCGGACACGAGGCGTGGCTGGGGTGCTGGCTAGGACCCACACGCCCCTCTCCAAGGGGAGGAGGGGCGGCAGGCTGCCTCAGACCCCGGGCAGCTGTGACTCCTAACATCGCGGTTTACCCCAAACCTGCCCCTTCACCAGGTACCTGACTTTTTTCAAAGTGAGGATCCACACTAACAATGAATATTTCACCATGTTCCCTCCTCTACAACAAGCCTCTCCACCCATCTCCGGAGCTCCTGTGTCATGAAGTTGTTCCTAGCCTTGCTCTGAGGCAGAGTAACTTGCTGCACTGAACACAGCTCTCTGTTTATCTTGTTACAGAAAAATATTTTTTCCTCCGTGAATTTCTCCAGAATGTACAAAATACGTCATTTACTATTGCAAAGGAAATGAACCCCCTGGAGGTGAAGTTATTCTAATACTGAGCCACCAACTTACAATTTGCACACTGCTGACTGAGACAGTACTCCACAAGGGGTGTGGAGTGTCCCAGAGGAATGATTTGAAGGTCAAACTCATGAACAAGCAAAATATCATCTTTTAGTAACAAGTATCCTTGCCCTGAGGAGGTGAAGCAGTAGACAGCTATCAGCGTCTAACCATCTATTTTCAGACCAATGTTTTGGGGCACAAGGGAGTGGATTTCAGCTACTAGTTGAAAACAGCTGTTTATAAAAAAAAAAACAAAAAAAAACCTACTCAAAATTTCTTCCTGTAACAAAAATAACTTAGCATTTATCAAATGCTCTTTCATGCAACAAAAAGGCCGGGGAAAGGTTAGACTGGGGTAGTGGGAAGGCTCCCACTGAAAGCCAGAGGACCAAGGCGAGGTCAGGGGGACAGGCCTCTCCCCAGTATGGGCTCCGCCCCCACATCCAGGCGATCCCGGTGACAATGACTCCTGCCCGTGGCGGTTCCGTTAGACACTGTGATGGGTGCCTTGTCCCTGTTACCTCATTCAATCCCCACTGCACTCTGGCCAGGCAGGTGCCTTCCTTATGTCCATTTCACAGATTGAGAAGCTCAGTGTGCACAGTGCTCACGCCACCTGTACCAGGCCATGAAGTCATCACTGTGGGGCAGGATTTCTATGCAGGGGTTTTGAACCCTGCAGTACATCCAGCTACTGGAACTCCCCAGGGCCCCACTTTGCTCATCTTTAAAATGAGGACACAGGCGCAGTGTCAGAACTGAAGGAAATCATGGAAGAGAGCCCAGTGCAATGCCTATGAAGCAGGTACTCAATACACATTACCTCACCTTTACCCCTTCACCTTGGTTCACAGCATGAGCACCATTTAGGCTACGGATGAGTGTGTCTCAACCAGTTAATGTAATTAATTTTGCATAACTATAACTATAAAAGCACTACCAACCGTCATACAAGTTAAAAAAACACACAAACTAACAATTTTGTTGTTGTCTTTCCCCAGTTACAGGTTCTATCTCTCTGCACTAATTAAAATGGAAAAGTTGTCATCTGGCCATCTGGATGATTTGCCTGCGTGATAGGAATCATTTAGAATCTAGATGCCTGGGAACATAAAATGGAGGGACTCAGCCCTCACAAGATTATGAGACACTTCAGAAGACACTGACCTGTCCTAACTCTTCGTTTAAATCCGAGGTGTTGACCAGAGGCCCTTCACCCATGTCCTCGTCAAACATTTCTTCATCCCAGGTGATGAAATACGAGCCAAGGAACTTCTGCATCTCTACCGTGACGTACATGGACACGGGGATGATGTAGTTGAACAGAACCATGAAGGCCAGGAAGTCCGTGAACGCCCTGAGAAACTGAGAGAACATCGTGTGATTTCCCACATCCTCACACCAACATCACAACTATTTAAAGCTTAGGCACAAACCACCCAAGCGCAGATTTTAAATACAAGCATTTCAAATCCAAAGATACGGCTCATTCAGGGCTGCAGCGGCCATTGGATGACTTGCCTGTCACTTAATTTTAGTGCTGCAATGGCCTCAGGCCAGCCAGGCCTCTGGGCTGAGGAGGGAGAAGGATTAAGTCACCTGTTAAACAGTCACTTTGCCAGGAGACAGGAGGCCTCCCCGCTGAGAGCCAGTAGGAAACTTTACATTGGGAGTATCCCAAGTTTCCTTTGAGACTCTGACAAATGACCAACTGACTCTGTAATAACCCACAGATGCCAAAACCATCAGTCTGATACAAAGATTTTTCTATATAGTCTGTTCTTATCTCTAAGCCATTTAGTTTTATGGGAGGCCCAATTAAACACAAGAAAGAAGTAGGGACCCTAGTCTGGATTTGCATAAATCCTAGTCTGGACGCAGTGGGCCCTGGTCTGGATTGGTTCCACACCTGCTCTGGATGCAGTGGGCCCTGGTCTGGGGTTTGTTCTAGACCTGCTCTGGACGCAGTGGGCCCTGGTTGGAGTCGCACATGGCTCAGGTCTGGACTCACTGGGCCCAACCAGAAAACTATACTATTTTAAGTAGAAGAGGTTCAATCAAATTATTTTAATATACTGGTTTTGGGCAAAATACTTTTGATAAACATTTCTCATTTGAAAAATGAAAGTAATTCTTACCCTAGTTTCCATATAATTGTCTCTTTTTTTTTTTGTCCACAGAGGTACCATAAGAAAGTACCATTTACCTCACAATCATTAATGAGCATTCACTGAGCATCCTCTAAGTATAGACACTGCTCTGGGTTCTGGAAACACCAAAAACATTTAAGGCGCATCCATATGAATGTACTATGGGAACTAATACCTTTCCAGACTTGGATATTCAAATCCAAAGAAAGCAAAAGCAACCAGTATCTGCAGCTAGAGAGGCAACCAATGCTTTCCATATCAGTGCATGTACTTATTATGAAGATTGGATCAACCGCAACTTCATCATGTTAACATATTTTCACAACAGCAGCCCACAGGGCACTGTTGATGACTGCAAAGGAAGTCAGTGTCCATACCAGGTTCCTCTGTCTTTCTGCTTCGGTTTTCTGATTATACCACGGCTCATCTCGGGATGGTTCACTCTGCCACACGTACTTCAGGACAGTATTTATCAGCGCTTTGCTGATGAGGATGCAGAGGTACACTATGAGGAACACATTCATTGATCTAAAACACAAGAGGTAATGGTTACTTAGTCATTGCTCCTGGAAGAATTGCGAGCTGCACACCTGTGTGTCGAGGTGAACACATTGTGACAAAACAGATCAGGAATAAATGGCACAGCAATGAGTGCACTTAGAAGACCCCTCTCCCAATCCACTGACAGTGAAAATAACGTACGCTCATTTCTGAGTCTCCTCCATGGTCACTGGCGTGTGATTCTAGACACCACAAGGGAAACAGCTCAGTAAAGGCAAGTTTTGTAAACAGGAGAGAGACTCCACACAACCGCGTTGCTGACACAGGTTTCTGTATGTTCTAGGACTCTATCATTTAAAGAACATCCAGAAATAAATTCCTTCTACCTTTAAGCATCAACCAATGAGTTCTGGATTTAGAGAGGACCACCACTAAGGGAGGAGGGATGGAGGGAAGTCAACAAAGAAATGCCCTCTGCATCAGAATAATGTTCAATCTGTAGCCAGGGTCTGAGCAGACCTCACCAAGGAGGGGCGATTTCCCAAAGCCTATTTCTGAAACCTATTTGTCAATGTGACATCTGGAAACAAAGCGTTCTTGCTTAGGAGCCAAGTCTGCATTTTGGTATTTGATGAGGCCAGGATCACATTTCAAGACTGGCATTCTGAGAGGGGGCAGGAGGTACCCTGACAGTCTTCCCCCCAAACCTGAGAGCAGCACACATCTCTCTGTTAAAAAAATTGCAACCGCTCAGTGGCCCACTGCAAGTTGCGGATACACTTTAACAAGAGGCAAAGCCGGAAAAAACCTGGGCCACATTTTCTTACAAATTCAACTCTCTCCTTGACGTATTTTTACAAAGATTTTATGGTTTAATAAAAAGACGACTCTGTTCTCCCTGCTAATGCTTTGCTCCGGAAAACATGTGGTTTCAATACCCCAAATTAAAAATGACCCAACTTTGACTTTTTCAGGAAATGATGGGAAAAACTGTTGGGAAACTGCAAATGACTTCAAACTGGGACTTTGGGGTATCCGGGGTGTCCACATGAGGGAGCCACATGGGCTGAAGGTGTGTGGCCATTCACCCTCCACCCCCCCGAAATAAGACAGTCAATCTAAGTAATCAGCTCCACTGTCCATCTAGACACCATGAAGGAATTGCTAATCAGGCCAAGAGAGAAGTGCTTTCATATCTACTGTGGTTTGGTCTCCTAAGTCACAGATTTTTTCCCACTTCACACACTGGGGACTGAACCTTACTTTTCTACAGCGGATCGTTTCTGGGATTTTGATTGATAATTTAATGCCATCTTGGTTTCCATGCCCGTATAAATAGCAACACCTGTAAAGTAGAGAATAAATGTCAGAACAGTAACACAACTGTATTTGCCTTTACATAGTAAGTTACACACAGCTATGGTGAAAATGGAATTTGGGGTAAAAGGAATTATATTTTTTTATTTCACTAGGCAAGCTAGCTGTTCATAAGCAGAGTCACACAATAGGGTTCTTTAGACTAAAGAAGTACTTTTTTAAAAAAAATTTCCTGCAACAGAGAACAATCTGTATTTTTTATAAAGCTCAGATTTTAATAATTTGGGTTTTCCCACAAAAGGGTACAGCAATTTTAAAGAAAAATTTATTTTAATTAAAACATAAAAAATAACCCACACAGAAATGGGAGATACTAGTAAAGAAATAAAGTCACTAAAAAAATAGTTACAAAATATACTGTGTGGGTTCTTTCATGGATTAACTTTGTTTCTGAGTCAAAATCTGTAGGCACTTAATATATAAGCAATTTCCTCAGATGGACGCTTTATGGATTGCAGTTATACATCAATACTGCTTTTCTTAGTGATGCAGAATTATTGCTGTCATCAAGTCCACAGTACTTCAAAGTACAGAAGATGCTTTCATGGTACCACTATTGTAATTACTTAACATACCCTTAATTTTAGAGGCTATGATTAATAATTCACTAATTAAAATATTTACCAAAGATTTTCTCGGTGTTCTTTAGTGTGGCTCCTCTAAGAAGCACGTTTTCCGATCCTAATGGCCTATAAAGACAAGAATGGCCAGAAATAGGGCAATGGAGAAACCATAGTGAGAAGCATGCTACAAGGTGAAAGTCAGCTCACTTGCCTAACAGACTTCATTGTAAGAGGAAGTCGTTTAAATGTAGATTTGCTTATATTCGGATGAGAAAAGTCAGCCTGGGTCCATGGAACAGTGTGTGCGACTCCTGCCTGCCGGAGGTTAAGAACCCGCTCTGCTGGAAGAATTTTTGCAGAGTTCTAGCTCCGCCGGCACCTGCTCTCCTGGTGCGGCACATGTCAGCAGGCTCCCAGACCTACTGAGCCAGGTGTGAACATTTTAACAACATTCTATTTGCGATCCCTTGTGAGAGTGGTGGGCTGACAAGTGGGGTCCCTGCACCAGTGCCATCAGCAGCACCGGACAACTTGCCTGAAGAGTCACCTTGACAGACTGAATCAGAAACCTGCTCCTAACAAGTATCAGGTTTCAGGACCCCTGGACCGGAGGACCCCCAAATGTTCTGGAAAAGTGAAAGGGTGGTGCCTCTGAGTCATGTGGCATCAAGCCACTTCTATCACGCCCTGTGTCTATCACTCAGTGTGTCTCATGGAATACAATCACACTTTAAAGGTGAGGGCTGGTGCCCATCAGTAAATGAATAGATTAAAAAACTGTGGGACATTTACATTATGGAATATTATGCAGCTGTGAAAAAGAGGGATCTCTTAGCCTTTGGGACAGCATGGATGGATCTGGAAAATATTATGCTAAGTAAATAAGCCAATCTGAGAAAGATAAATATCACATGATCTCACTTATTTGTGGAATCTAATGAACACAATGAACTGACAAACAAAATAAGACCTGAAGCATGGAACAGACTAACATACCTCGATGTAGGGCTGGGGGACGAGAAGAGATAAATCAAAGAACTTATATATTTATAGGCATAGCCCATGGATACGAGCAATAGGGTAGTGAAGACCGGGGGGGGGGATGGTAAGGACTAGGAGGAGAGGGGTAAAGGGGGGGGAAATGGGATATATCTGTAATACTATCAACAATAAAAATATATTAAAAAAATAAATAAAGGTGAAGGCTGGGATACTCTGTGTGCCTTTATGAACATTGGCAGTCAAGTCCACAAAGCCCTCTACATGCAGGCGGCTGTAAATCTGGAACAATCCATGCATTTGCTACTTTGGGGAGAAACGGGCAACAACCAAGGAACTTAAAAAGCGCGCATTAAGAACAAGCACTGCCCTACACTCGACACTCAACAGGGAGCGACAGACAGCATCTCTGCCTCCCGGAGGTTCACATTCAAGCAGTTCCCCTTGTTGATGGAGTAATCGTTTCTTCTAGTTTCCCAAGAGGAAAAGGGAAGCATGAAGCAGAATTCAACTTTGCACAGTTTGCTATTGTCAGCATTCTGATCATTTTCTTTGGAAGGGAACGAGTTGAAAGCATTTGCTGAAGTTTGCTTTTTACTCCATCAGTGTCTTTAATTTCCTTTAACCATGGAATGTTGAGAACCTAGTGAATGCTATACACCTCAAATGTGTGCAGTGTATTTAGCTGATACAGCTCAGGACTGTGTCCAGCTGAAGACGAGAAAGAGGGGGCTGCTGAGAGGGAAGAGTTGGCTGGGACACACTTGACCTGACGTGTCTGCCCAGGGCTGCCTGAGGGTCTCAGACACTCGCCCCTCAGCCTGGCAGCCCCCTTGAGAACCTCCAGGGCCACGTACTTGCTGCGGTCTGGCTGTGTTAGAAGCACTGTCGGCCTCTGTGAGCTACACTAACAATAATTCACGTGGCGCGTGCTCATGAAAACAAATGGCCTCTTTAAAAAGTGGCTCTGGGAAGTCTAAAAATAATTTACTTTAAAAAGTACTTTGCTTCCAGTTTGGACAGGAGGATGAAGAAATATTACCCTGAGTGGATTAAGAATTTAGATATATAATTCATAACTGTCCACACCACAAACTTATAAATATCTTTAAGTACCCAAATATTAAAAGTCTGCTGAATAGTATAATGCATAAAAAGCTAAACTAGAATTGCTATCAAAATACAAAATGGATTAGTAATTATCTTCCTAAGATGCTCAGCATTAAACTTCGTCTAAACAGAAAGCATGAAAAGCCTGCAGTGTTTACTTTGTCGGATTCATTACATCAGCAATATGAATAAATAGTAATCTATTACTTGTTCAAACACTAATTCTCACAAGACACAGAAATACAGGTCATTTTTCCAAACTAACTAGGAATTAGCTGTAGACTAGTATCTATTGAGGAAAGACTGTGGCAATGCCTCCATCAATTCTGAAAACTGCCCTAGCCAGTTTGGCTCAGTGGGAAGGGCGTCTGCCTGTGGACTGAGGGGTCCAAGATTCAATGCCGGGCGGGGGCACATGCCTGGGTTGCGGGTTCAATCCCCAGTGTGGGAGTTGCAGGAGGCAGCCAATCAATGATTCTCACTCATCATTGATGTTTTTTTCTCTCTCTCTCCTTCTCCATTCCTCTCTGAGGTCAATAAAAATATATTTTAAAAAAAATTCTGAAAGCTATCAACTAACCAGCTGATAAATAATGATGAAAACATGCTAAGAAGTGCATAAATTGTTTCCTTTAAACAAATAGTTTCAGGAGCTTATAAGGAGATAAGCCCCAACGAATTATATTTCAGTAACTTATTATTTTGTGGCAGTTTCCCATTGAGTTTATTTCTACTTATGAGCAACTTTTTAAAAAAAAATATACAAAGTGCCCTGACTGGTTTGGCTCAGCGGATAGAGCGTTGGCCTAAGGACTGAAGGGTCCCGGGTTCGATTCTGGTCAAGGGCATGTACCTTGGTTGCGGGCACATCCCCAGTGGGGAGTGTGCAGGAGGCAGCTGATCGATGTTTCTCTCTCATCAATGTTTCTAACTCTCTATCCCTCTCTCTTCCTCTCTGTAAAAAATCAATAAAATAAAATAAAAAAATACACAAAGTACTACCAGGATATTGGCAACTTGGAGACTGCTTAAATCCGGGGTGGCGGGGAGGGGATAATTTCTCTAAAAGGTGAGATTTATAAAAAAGGTCAACTCCTAAATCTACTTAAAGTCAATTTCCTAAACTGTAGATCTCAAATACCTTAGCACCAATGAACTGCCAGAATCCTAAAACAATGTCCAGATAAAACATCCACAGGCCTGAGGAAGGAGACACAATACAGACCGAGAGAGATGTGGGCTGGATGTTAACATCACACTGGTCCTGACCTCAGGCGGTGAGCACACCCACCTGTGACCTACACAGGCCTCAGCAATGCCCGGCCAACAGGTGGATGTGAGCCTGAGACAGGACCTTGTGAGGCACATCCCCTTAAGTCAGCGGTTCTCAACCTGTGGGTCGCGACCCCTTTGGGGGTCGAACAACCCTTTCACAGGGGTCGCCTAAGACCACTGGAAAACACATATATAATTACAAATTGTTTTTGTGATTAATCACTTTGCTTTAATTATGTTCAATTTGTAACAATGAAAATATATCCTGAGTATCAGATATTTACATTACGATTCATAACAGTAGCAAAATTACAGTTATGAAGTAGCAAGGAAAATAATTTTATGGTTGGGGGTCACCACAACATGAGAAACTGTATTAAAGGGTCGTGGCATTAGGAAGGTTGAGAACCACTGCCTTAAGTCTAGATGAAATCCAGAGCCAAAACCATACCCCAGTAATGATTATGGGTAGATTCATACATTCCAATAAAAGGGCTTCCAAACCAGAAATCTTTCAACTTCACAGTTGACAACATATTTGTCCATAAATTCTGAAAAGGAATTTCTTTTTTTAAAAATTGATTTCAGAGAGGAGAGGGGGAAAGAGAGATAGAAACATCAATGATGAGAGAGAATCATTGATTGGCTGCCCCCTGCATGGTCCACATTGGGGATAAAACTGTGACCTCCCGGTTCATAGGTCGACAGTCAACCACTGAGCCATGCTGGCTGGGCTGAAAAGGAATTTCTTTTCTTTTCTTTAATTTTTATTATTTTCTTAAATCCTCACCCGAGGATATTTTTCCATTGATTTTTAGAGAGAGTGGAAGAGAGAGGGAAAGACAGAGAGAAACACTGATCTGAGAGAAACACAATGATAGGTTGTCTCCAGCAGGAGTCCTGACCAGCGCCCAGGCTGGGGAGGAGCTTGCAACTGCAGTACTGCCCTTGACCGAATCAAACCCCGACCCTTGGGTCTGCAGCCGACGCTCTGAGCCAAACTGGCTAGGGCTGAAAAGGAATTTCTAATGGGGGAAACAGCACCCTCTCCTCTGCCTGGGGACTGTTAGATGGGCTCCTGACCCTTCCAGGCTGTGAGACCCTCAGCAGAGTCTTGTGAGAGAACATTTCCCATGAGCGTCATTCATTTGTTCACACATATAGCTCTATACTCAAGAGAAATCTGAAAACACTAGAACCTAGACTTCTGGAAACACCTAATTCTACTTTCAAAAACCAATAGGACAACAACACTAAAAAACTCTTATCAGTAAAAAAAAAATGCACTTATAATTTAAAAGAGATGAAAGTCTCCAAATTTGTTTAAGAGAAGCACATCGCCTCACCTCACCACGGGGTCATTCTGATCATTGTAAACATTTATTCGGCCCACAAACCTGGCAACAGAAAAGTTAGGTTAGTGGTACAGCAGCAACACGGGGGTCGGCGACCCTGCGGGAAAGAGGCAGACTGGAAGTGCCCTGGCTTACACCTGCCTTCCTGTTTCTACGAAAGGAGGGATGTGCGCTCACACCTGGGATTCTTTACACAAAAGGACATCTGTGTGTAGCTAAACCACTCTATCTTCCCTCTCTTTCTTGGTCTACTTTCTGTTCTTATTACCCCAGGACTTAAATGATTTTCTTTTAAAATCACTTCCTCAAAGTAGAAAAAATTATTTTTTCTGCAACAAATCTAGTTTCATTAAGCCACTTCTAATGTTTGCATAAGTAGCTATAGATTTAAATGTTGTCGGACTCTGAAAATATATAAGTAACCTATTTTTAACTCAGTCTTAACTTTAAAGCAGTGATTGACATTCTCTTTCCAAACCCCCAGGCCAGTAGACTATTTGGGGTGGAGAGCAAGAACAGCATTTAAGGCAATAAAGAGATACTCGTGGGGAGCACAGATCTTACCTGTAGAGGTCGGGCTGGGGCTGCTCGCACTCAATGGTAGCATGGAGGCCATCTATCTCTTCTTCTGTTTGAAATCCCTTTGTGTCTGGAACTGCATAATGTGTCTGCAGATTACAAGAAATGCGAATTCACAACAAAATGAACAACACAAACCTGGCAGCCAGTGCCTCCAATCCCAGGGCAGCATTGACGACCAATTTTTTGTGCATATAAATAAGACCGATGATGACGCCTGGCTAGCATATGAGAGAAGTATAATAAAGAGTTTGAAAACATTAAAAGTTATAGATTTATAGATTACTGCTGTTTTTCTTATATCTACTAGGTGCCAGAAAGTTCTTCCATTCTTACCCAGTTTCCTCAACTTAAAACTAATAGCAGTGTTGGGAATTCTTCTTCAAAATTAGATACCTCGGTTTATCTATCATGGTGGTGACTATCAATTAGGAAACAAATTTAAGAGCTAAAATATTCCCTTTTGTTTATATAATATCCTATTGATTATAGCAGGGGTGGGGAAGCTTTTTTCTGCCAAGGGCCATTTGAATATTTATAACAACATCCACTTAATATAAATTTATGTTGCTATGAAAGAAGCTCCTAGATTTATTGCATTTTGAGTCCCACCTGGGGTTGCCTAGGCAGGGCCAGACCAAATGATTTCACGGGCCTCATGTGGCCCGCGGGAGACGTTCCCCACCCCTGGTTTACAGAGAGCTGTCATCAGCATCAGGAACTGCCTTCGCCTGACACGGGGGAATGTAAGCTTTCTGCATAGCTACTCACTTGGCTCCTCGAACCTTAATGTTCATCAGAATCACCACAGAGAGCTTGTAAGGCACTGACTCCTGGAACCCACCAGGGACCATGTTAGAAATGCAATCCTCAGGCCTCATCCCAGCTTTCTGATGCCGAGGGTCTGGAGTGGGATCCGAGGCCTGCATTTCTAACATGATCCTACATGATGCCTAAGCTGCTGGGCTGGGGCCCCATTTGGAGACCATGGGGCCAGATGGTATTAGTAAGCAGGGACAGACAGGAGGGCTCGCCTTGGGAGGAGAGAGGAAAGAAACACTCGTGCATGAGGGCCTGGTGAAGGAGAACACACCGCTACGTCTCCTCTTACCTGTCTCTCTAATGATCAAGTGTTAGACACATAAAATGTTCAATAAATCAAAACTAACAGGAGATATGATCACGGCAACCGCAGCAGGATTTGTCACATTTCAGGGCATTTATCGAACACTTTGGGAAAATTTCTAGTTATGTCTCACAGACGCCCCTAGAAGACAGGTTTGTCCCTGTTTTATGGATGTGGAAACTCCAGGGAGGCCAGGTGTCTGCCACGGTCATGAGTAATGAATGTGACCAGCGCAGGAGTCCCCCTTCCCAATCTCCTCTTAAGCAAAGGGCTCAGATCTAGCCAGCCACCCAAGCCAAAGCCAACGCACAGAAATGACGCCGGAGGGCACGCATTCAAGATGCTGAACACACCACGCCAAAGGTCAAAGGAAAATGTGGACTCGAATATCAGCAGTTCCGGACGGCTGTAAATTTTACCTGAGAAGTGATACACCTGGAGGCCTGCAGCATCTGTTCACGGTGATGCTGAGACCTCTGTGAGCAGCCACATCCCTCCCGGGCGAGGGGAGGAGCGGGCAGCCCACTGCCCACAGTGAGGCTGTGGGTGGCTCACTTGTTTTGTTTATTTATTACAGTGTATTCATCCAGCACTTGGTTATTAGAGAGGAAGACACGAGGAGAGTTAGAGGTGTGTCCTGTCAGAAAGGACTGGCACATACACTCCTCACGCTCCAGAGACCGGTGGCAGGTTACAATAAACACCTGAAACCCAGCCCCAGGGATTTCCATTCCCAGAATCACTGTTGCTCACAATGGCTTGTGCCAGAATGCCAACTCCGTTGGGGTGTGCTACATAGAAAATGTGAAAGTAAATGCCGAGAAACCCCACAGGGCTTTGTACAACGATACCATGAATTATCCTTAAAAGATTAGCATATTCTTTAGGGTTTTGCAAAAAAAAAAAAAATTCTCTTTCTCATCCTAGAAATTGCCTATATTCATAGGTATCGTTTAAGTATCGTGTTAGAGTTGCAATTTTGTGACCTAATGCCTTGATTCCATTGAGATATACTCACTCTTATAAACTCCTTGGAAGCTTCCTGATTTTTTAAATAATGAAAACCTTAAAATTAATAGTGATATGTTCTATTCTCTCGTGATTGTTAATTAAAATGTGTAGCATCAGCTACCAGTACAGAATTCCATACTGAATGTAAGAAATTAATTATAACCTCAGATATTTATTAAAATATTTTAACAAAAAGACACTCATTGGAGTAACCGTGAGTGCGGCAAAAATCTAGACTCGTGTGGGACTTTTTACATAATTCCAGGGGAGTAAAGACACTAATTCTGACTGGTGAAATGAAAACTCTCAAAATTTCAGCAATCAATTCATTACTTCCCTTTGGTATCTCTGCTAAAGGACACAACTACATAAATAACATGAAGTTATTTCTGTTAACTCAATGGCTGGATGTTATGAATACCGAGGGTGGAAAGAAAAAAGTAGAAAACAGAAAGAAACGAAAGTAAAAAAACACAAGAAACGGACTTCTGGCCAGCACAAGTCCCTGGGTTTCCACTGAAAGCTGATTTCCAGACATGATGTAGTTTCTAGCCCCGCAAGCACAGCTGGGGAAGGAAGGGGAGGCCGCACAGGATCTCCAGCAAAAGGCACGTTACTTTGTGACTTGACTCTCCATCTAGGCTGGTGGTTGTCACGTGGCAGGTCCCGTCTCCCCGGCTGCTGGAGAGGAAGATCAAGTCACAGGGGAAGGACTCATCCTCCTTGACCATGACGATGTCCCCGACCTGCAGGACAGACAGACAGACAGTGCCATCAAATGAACCCTGCCACTGTGCAGCAAGGTTTCCTTTTTCCTAATGTGCCAGTCGATACTCACAGATACCATTATGGTGTTTGTTTACCGGAGGATATATGGATGCTAATGTGACTCTAGAGAAAGATCATTTCCCAGGCATTTTGCCCAAACGGAGGACAGACCAGGTGAGGTTTCAATGTACCAATTTTAGATCTGAGAAGCATCAAAGTGCATTACGATTGAGTATTTTGCAATGGAAACACAAACATCCATAACAGGATTACCCTTGATTCAGCCCAAAAGGATGAGTTCTAGTGTTTCATTAATGGGTCCAAGTGGGAATTATCCTTGGAGGAAGGCGCTGACTTAAAACCACGTGTCCCATAAACCAGGTAGGAGAGTTCTAAACACTGGCTGAACAACAGAACCAAGACACTGTCCAGATCACACAAGCGGGACTAAGAAGAATGCAGAAGTGGCAATCACCTTTATTTATTTATTTTTTTTCTTTTATTTTTATTTTTATTATTATTTATTACAAAGGGTATTACATGACACTCTGTTTGAGGCAGTTCTGCCTCTGTATCTATTATTGTTCAAAAGTTTATAATGGTCTCAATTATCCATGAAAAAGTGGCAATCACCTTTAAAAAACTAGAACAAAAAAGAGCCACAGAACGTTTGTCATAAGGATTTTTAAATAAGATGAAACATCCCACTTTTTGTGTCATCACCAACCAAGACATCTAAATGACCTCCCAGAAAGGCCCCTTTTCTCTGGTTGTGACTTCAGGCTTTGTGTCAGGAAGGCAAATGACCATGAAAATCAGGACGACTAGCCAGAGGGTTCAAATCCTTCCAAGCGCCTGGATGTTCCTGCTGCCACTGCAGGTGCTTCCAGAATCAGGACTTCAGCGTGCTTCTGCCTGCACTGTAAGTGCAGTTCCCTGTCACACTCCATTACTGCCCCAACTGAGTGTCTGAGAACTTCACATTGGAGGGTTATTCCTCAACTAGATCTTTGTGTTCAGTGAAATCCCCACAGAAAATCCCAGAAAGATTTTCGTAGACACAGATGGGCTTATGCTAAAAGTTACGTGGAAAGGTGTACGCCTAGAATAGCTACAACACTCCTGATCAAGAGGAATGAAGGGGGGAGTCACTCTGCCGATGTGAAGCTTCCTATGCAGCTGGAGTAGCCGGGATGTGCTGGTACTGGCAGAGCACTGGCACAAAGAGCAATGAAACAGAACAGAGCACAGTGAGACTGGGCCACACAAAAGGCTTCCGACTGACTAACTACGACAAAAGCAAAAAAACAATTCAATGGAGAAGGAACAGCCTTTCCATCAAATGATAGTAGAACAATTGGGCAATGATAGGAAAAAAAAAAAAAGGAAGCTTTGCCCTAAACCTCACATTTTATGTGAAAATTAATTCCAAATGGAGTGTGAATTTAAATGTAAAACATAAAACTGTTAGAAAAACAGTGCAGAACATCTGTGGGCTCCAAGTTAGGCAAAGAACTCTTAATCGTTTTTAAATAATAGAGGGATAGAGAGATAGAAACATTGGTAGAGAGAAATATTATCTATCAGTTGCCTCCTGCATGCCCTGCACTAGGGATGGAGCAGGCAACCCAGGCATGTGCCCTGATTGGGAATTGAACCAACAACCTCTTGGTTCTTGGGTTGACACTCAACTGCTGAGCAACACCGACCGGGCCAGAGCTCTTAATCTTGACACTAAAAGCATGATCCATAAAAGGGGAAAAAAATCAATAAATTGGACTTCATCAAAATTTTAGTTTTATTTTTTTAATATACTTTATTGATTTTTTTACAGAGAGGAAGGGAGAGGGATAGAGAGTTAGAAACATGGATGAGAGAGAAACATCGATCAGCTGCCTCCTGCACACCCCCTCTGGGGATGTGCCTGCAACCAAGGTACATGCCCTTGACCGGAATCGAACCTGGGACCCTTCACTCTGCAGGCTGATGCTCTATCCACTGAGCCAACCGGTTGGGGCCTTCATCAAAATTTTAAAACTTTGCTTTGTGAATACCCCATTAAGGGAATTCTGACAAAGGACTAATATTTAGAATATATAAATTTTCAAAATTCATCAGTAAAAACTAGAAAATAAGTAAAAGACATAAAGAATTGTTGTTGCTTTTATCCCACAGAAAGAGGATACACAGATGGCAAATAAACACATGGGAAGATATTCAACATGGTTAGCCAGTCGGGAGATGCAAATTTAAACCTCACTGAGATATCAGAATGACTAAACTGAAAAATAGTGCCAACACCAAATGCTGGTGACAATGTGCAGAAACTGGATCTCTCACACATTGCTAATAGGAATGGAAAATTGCCCAGCACTCTGGGAAATTTTTTGGCAATTCCTCTTAAAACTAAAAATGGATTTGCTCTGTGACCCAACAATTCAACTCTTGAGCTGTTATGCCAGAGAAATGGAAATTTTATTCATACCAAAACCTGCATACAAGTATTCATAGCAGCTTTATTCATAATAGCCCCAAACTGGAAAAGATGTACTAGTAAATGTCCTTCAATTGTTGAATGCAAGCAAACTCTGATCTAACCCACACCATGGTCTCATCAATAAAAGGTAGGAGCGACCGATACAAACAACAAGGGTGAAATCAAGGGAATGAGGCTGAGTGAAAAAAGCCAGTCCCAAAAGGTTTCTGACTGTGCGATTCCATTTCTGTAATGACATTCTTGAAATTATAGAGATGGACAAATTAAAGGTTCCTTTTCTAATAGCCTGGTGCAGCCTCTGAGGGCCTGAGCCATTATGGCCAATGAAAGATGATGCCTAGAGTCACAAAGGATGCCTGATTGTTCTTCCTAGTCTCACAGTCGATTGAGAATCCTCTGGTTTGCACAGGCTGGATACAGAGCAGACATTTCTCACAGAGGATCAATGCACTAAAAATTCAATTTTCTGCTGGTGGACACAGCTTAGGTATGTTTTTAAAGAAAGAGATGTTTATTAAAGAGATGTTTATAACAAATTGTCAGTTGTAAAAATCGTCACAGGGATCTAGAGTAAACCATAGGGACTA